AATTAATTAATAAAATATTTTTATTTTATAATTCCCTACAAAACTTAAAAAATATCTATTTAGAGTGTGTTTATTTGAAGGATTTTGAAAATTATACGCTATTCATATAAAAAATTTTCTTAACAAATATCGGATCAAATACTTATTTTTTTTATAATATATTAAAATTTAATTTTACATTTAAAACATCAAGTTAGTAGTTAGTATATGAACAGAGTATTTTGCAAGCCATTGTTGCCATTATTACATACCTGAATTCTTTAAGTTTTACTCTAAATCCTTTTCTTTTTATAATAATGACTCCAATTTTAAATTTATATTTTTTAAAATATTACGCAAATAAATATAAAGTGTGCAAGCATTATTATTTCCTTTTTGGGGCAAGAAATTATTGTCTCAAATGTTATTCTCTTTATGGTTACATAACAAAAGGGTTTGTTTGCACGCGGTTAATTTAAGGGTGTTTTGATAGTACTACAAAATAATAATTTATTTTTTTATACAGCATATTTAATAAAAATAGTTTTTAAAAAATATAATTAATTAATTAATTAATATCTTTGAAGCATAAAATCTTTTAATTAATTAATAATGCAAGACTTGCATGAGTTCACAAGGGAGCGTAGTGCTTAACTTAAAAACTAGTGTGTTTGTTCGGGGATTGAATTAGATTTCTACTATTCATCTCATTTTTTTTTCCCAAAAACATCAAATCAAACACCTATTTTTTATTTTTTATATTATACTAAAAAAAAATTTACATTCAAAACATCGCACCAACACTTATTTATATTAAATTATACAATTATTCAAAATCCCAAACACACCCTAAGGGCAACTTCAACCCACTGTATAAATTAATTTTTTAATTAATTAATAAATGCAGTGGATTGCCCCAAAATTGGGGGAGGGGCTCCAACCCACCCTCAAAGTCCCCCCAATTGTGCAAACTTCAATTTTTTAAGTGAAGTTTGTGTATTTTTGTTATACTCCCTTCCTCCCAAGCAATGTGTAACGTTTATTTTTTGCACGGGTTTTTAGGTGGGTAGTATTAAGTATAATAATTTAGAAATTATGTGATGTGATGGAGAGATAAATATATATTTTATTTTTTTATTTGGATAATGTGAAGGGATAAAGTGTGATGTAGAGATTATGTATAATTAATTATATTTTGGAAATATTGCAAGGTGTTTGGGATATATCAAAAAAGAAATGTTGCACGGTGTTTGGGACGGAGGGTGTATTTTTTTTTTTGGTATATTGTGTATTTTTATTTTTTTAAAAAATAATGTATAATTTTATGCAATTTCAATAATTTATGTCTACAATTGATATGTTTAATCTTTTATTGTGGTCAAATTTTAGATTAATTTACTAATTGTATTTTAATCAAACATTTGCATTGTAATTGTATACTTGTTTAATAAAATAATAAATAAGTTAACAAACTTGACATAAAAATTGCATAATAGAATATTTTAATATTTCCGTAATCAATTTAATGTTCGAATTGAACTTTTTCTCGTACTATTTTTAGCTAGAGAAATTATTCTAAGGTTGTACTTAGTTTATTTCCTCGGTTAAGGATGTAGTCCATTATTTTTTACCATTGCCGCAAATGAGATAAAAAAAAAAAAATGGTGTTATAATTGTGTTATAATTGTATATAATGTCTATAATCAATTTATCAATTAAATAAAGAGACTATTTTAAATCGATGATCAAATACTTAATTTAATTTCTTATTTGTTCATTGGGCTAGACGTTTAATCCGTACTTAAAATCTAATTTTAATTTAATATATTTTATTTGATATTAACATCACTTATTATGCAATATTTCCGATGTTAAGAGAATTTTATTGGAAGTTTCAAAAACTATCAATTGCCTTATTGGACATCATAGACACCCTACTGAAATTTATGGAGGAATCATATAAATTTGTTAAAGCATATATTATACTCCCTCCGTCCAATGTAAAGCATATTTGCACGGTTTTTTAGGTGATTGTCTTTTTGTTACGAATTAACAAATTTGTCCTTAATTGTATGATAGAGATTAAAAGTAATAAATGAATTGAGGGTAAAAATATAAAACTTGTGTTTAAAAAAAGGACATAAGATAATAGTTCTTGAACGTCTCAAATAGGAAAGTAGGACATTAGTTTGTGGACGGAGGAAGTACATATTATAAAAGATTAAATTAATATGTTGAAATACATTGGCAATTTATGGAGCTCACTAATTAATAATTTATTTAATTTAACACCGGATCCAACTACACCTCTTTGAATATTCGTAAAATGAATCTAAAGTAAATTTCCATCCAAATGCATCCCAATCGATACATTGTTGTGCTTCTATAATTATTTTTCAATATAAATATAAGGCAAAATTGTATTGGTTATTCAAATATGTCGAATTCAAAATGACCGTCTCAAATTATTAGAAAAACGGGATTTCCAATGAAATAGAAAACATCAATTTATTATTATTATTATTATTATTATTATTATTATTATTTTAAGCTAAATTGATCATAGTTCACTTGTGATTTGAAAAACCTATATCATTCTCCTTTATAATTTCAAAATGATATAAAACTTCTTTGTATTTTAAATAATATTGTACAAAATTTCATTTTAAAAATTTTTATACGATATTTATAAAAACACAAAAGAATTTTACACAATTTTCAGAGTATTATATCAATTTTTTCTAAAATACGCGGGAGTCTAATACAATTTTTAAATCAAGGAAGAGACGGATAGATTTTTCAAACCACAAATATGTTATTATTATTTTTTGCCTAGTTTGTTATTTAAAATAAATATGGATTTCACTATAAAATTAGAGATATTTGTAGAAAATAATTAATTTGTGACTGAACAATTCTAAATAAAAATATGCTTAGGGTGTGTTTGTTTGGGGGTTTGGATTTTGAGTTAGGATTTGAATAATAAAAATTTTGAATTTGAATAGTTGTATGATGTGATATAAATAGGTGTTGATGTTATGTTTTGAATGTAAAATTGATTTTTAGTATAATATAAAAAATAAAAAATAGGTGTTTGATTTGATGTTTTTTAAGAAAAAAAATAGGATGAATAGTGAAAATTTAATCTAATCCCCAAACAAACACACCCTTGTTTTATAAGTGAACGAAGTGAGTATAATAGTATTAATTAAATTTCTGTCCAATTTAAATTAGTTTAGATTTTGCGGACGGCAGGGGTAATGTTTATTGAAATTTGTAAAAAATAAAAAAAAGAATTTATTGTTTTATATACATTACATCTTTTTTAATAATCATAAGTATTTATATTTATTAATAAAAATATATTTTTTAATTTAAAAATTTATTATTTCAAAATAATTGGTCTGTTTCCTTAATCAAATTTTCTTGAATTTTGTTTGAATTATACATTTTCAAAAAAATATATATTTTTTTTATTTTATAAAATATATTATTAAATATTGTTTTAATATTAAATTAAAACCAAATTTTTTCCAACTCAGCTAAAAAAACACAGCCGATATATCAAACAAGAGCATTCGGAGCATTAGGAGCATTTGGCAGTTCTTATGGGTACTTGTGTTAGTCAATAACTGTTATTTAACTTCGCTACCCCATATATATCTATATATATATATAAAAATAAATGGTCAAACAAACTAATAAATATATTAAATATTAATATAAATTTATACCATATTTGTATTTTTTTTTTCCATCAAATTAATTATATTCATATTATAAATTATTTCATAGTTAACCTTTAGTAGGATTTTTTGTTAATAATACTCATGTAGTCAAATTGAATTTGAACACAATGCAACATCGCTATGTTCTTTAGTATCATTTTTTAATTGTGATTTTTTTAAAAATAATATTAAAAAAATATTTAGTTAATTATTTAAATACAAACTTTAAATTAATTAATTATTTAAATATTTATTTAATTATTTAATTGTGATTTTTTTAAAAAAAAATCATACAAAGGTTAAAAAATCATACAAACTTTAAATAAATAAATTATTTAATTTAAAATAATATATTTTATATTTTTTTACATAATTTCTCGTATCGCACATCAAAAAATCAATTCATACACGGGGTAAACGGAACGATTGTTTCTTAGTTTATATTATAGCAGAACTTATTGTACTTAGCAGAGATATAAAATTTGGTATTGTGTTAACAACACACAATATAAGAATGGACTATATATAATACTCTCTCCATTTATTTAATTTGTTCAATTTTTCTATTTTTATTCGTTCCACATGATTTGTCATTTTTTTTAAAAAAATATATAATTATACACTTTAATTATATTTAAAATTTTATATTTATAATTTTTTTTAATTAAACTATTTAATCATATTAATTTTAATTTATACTTATTTTTATTAAATTACAATTATTTTCACTAATATATTTATTAATTATATAATATCTAAAATTTTGTCTCTAAAACAATTTATCCGAAATGAAAGAAAAATTATGTTAACATAATCAGGTATAACTTACGGCATAGCGGGAAAAAATATATTAATTATATTAATATAATACAATAAATACCTCATAAATTATATAATCTAAAACACATTATGTAAAAATTAACAATATATAATACATAATATATAAATTATATTAATCATATTAACAACAATTAAAATAAACACTCCAAAATAGGAGCAAACTAATGTTACTTACCTTATATTAATATTTCTGAAATAAACTAATTATTCAATAATATTTTATGTAAACATAATTATCCTATCGATATTTCAGGAAAATAGTAATAATGAAAATTTACCAAAGCTTTAGGTAACAATAAATTTATTTCTTTAAGCTAATTAATAAAATTCCATTTACTCACCTACCTCCACGAACCAAATATCCAGGCAAATCACAGCCGTCCATTCTCCTTTCCAGTAAATCAACGGCCAATGAGCCTTCCGCCGTTGCATAAAAAGACATACGCATCTCCCTTCCACGCACTTCTCAAAACCAATCCCAAATATTTTCGAACTCTGCAACAATGGCGGACGCAGCCTTCAATTCCGACGTGGCAAACTATTCCAGCAAGAAGAGATCTGGCTCTTCCGACGACCAGTGGGATCAATTCGCCGCCTCAAAAAAGGCGGCGGCGGCGGCGGGTACCAATAAGTTCCCGGAAGATCCGGCGGCGGCGCTGGCGAACGCCCGCCACGAATTCGGCGAGCACGGCGGCGTAAACATGTCGATCGAGGCGTCGGCGACGTTCACCGTCATGGAGCCGGAAACGATGCGGCGGATGTTCACCGGCGAGCTCGGCCCCGACCGCGATTTCTTCATCTACAGCCGCCACTTCAACCCGACGGTGCTCAACCTCGGCCGCCTTATGGCCGCCATGGAAGGCACCGAAGCCGCCTACTGCACGGCGTCGGGGATGTCGGCGATCGCCGCCGTCCTCCTCCAGCTCTGCAGCTCCGGCGGCCACGTCGTCGCCTCGCACACTCTCTACGGCGGCACCCACGCGCTCCTCAGCCACTTCCTCCCACGCGCGTGCAACATAACGACGTCGTTTGTTGACATCCGGGACCACGACTCCGTGCGCAAAGAAATCGTCCAGGGCAGGACCAAGGTCCTGTACTTCGAGTCCATGTCCAATCCGACGCTCACCGTCGCCGACGTGCCGGAACTCTGCCGGATCGCCCACGACAAAGGCGTCACCGTCGTCGTCGACAATACTTTTGCTCCGATGGTGCTCTCGCCGGCGAGGCTCGGCGCCGACGTCGTCGTGCACAGTATTTCCAAGTACATTAGCGGCAGCGGCGATATCGTGGCAGGTCCGTACGCCTTCAATTTAATTTATTTATTATTCACTATTTCGGTTAAAATTAGTTTATTTGGTTCCGGAAATTTTTTAAAATTTAATTAAAGAGAAAAAAAAAAGAATAAGTTAGTGATATTCGTTGATACAACAAAATTCATAGTTGGAAAGAACTAATAAAAAAGAAAATGAGAATAATATATTTGATTGACGGATAAGTATTATTTTTTAATTTTCGGAAATATTGGATTTGCTGAGTAAGATTTTTCATACCAAAAACACTGGTAATTTAGGTATCAGATTTTCTGTATCCAAGAACCTAATTAGCAACAAAATAAATACTAATTAAATAGGTTTAGGTAAATTACATAAATAAGTTGGTATACATTGAGGAAGACTCGAAACAGAAAATGGTCACATCACGTGACGATGAGTGAAGCAAATTGTCTGCTTCCTTTCCCTGACTTCATATGTAGTCGTTTGCCACGTGTCCGGTCTTTTTCCGTGCCCACGTTGTTACCGAATTATGAGAACTTTTTTATTTTTAACATTTTTCTATCATTAACATAACAGTAATCATCATTGTCCGCGGCCGTACCTCACTTTTTATTTTTTATTTATTTAATGTTTTCGTAAATTTTGAACACGTGCTAGGAACATGATGACGGGATAGGTATTTGTACAGGTATTAGGGATGCGGTCGAAATCATGTCTATGTCGGATCTATTTAAGTTTATTTAATACTCCTATATTTCATTCTTATGTTTTTTATAATTTTTAAATATGTTTTTATTAAAATAATTGTTCCCTAATAGTGGTGAGATGATGAAATGAAGGAAAAAAAATATTTATCAAAATTTAAATATGATTAATTTTGATAATTTATCTATTAAAAAAAACAATAGTTGTGATGTAATTGCTTTTACCTATAAATATCTATGAACTATGGTTGTTTATATATATTCCAATTTTATTATTTGAAGGATAATAATGAAATTAATTTATTAAATTTTCTTTATGTATTTTATTGCAAATTTGTGTATATAATAATTTTTATATGTATAATTATTTTTTCATAAAAGAATAATTCAAGATTGACAACTACAGTTTAAAATCCCCTTAATTTTCTTTAATTTCAATTATATAGATTCTATAATTTTAACGTGATTTGAACGAAGTCCAGGAGCGGTGTGCGGTCCAGCGAGTCTGGTGAACTCGATGATGGACCTCCACCAGGGGGCCCTCATGCTCCTGGGACCTACAATGAACCCGAAGGTGGCCTTCGAGTTGTCGGAGCGGCTGCCGCACTTGGGGCTCCGGATGAAGGAGCACTGCCGGCGGGCGGAGACGTTCGCGACCCGGATGAAGAAACTGGGGCTCCGGGTGGTGTATCCGGGTCTGGAGGACCACCCGGAGTACGCACTGCTGAAGTCCATGGCGAATCCCGGGTACGGGTCGGGCGGAATACTGTGCCTGGACATGGAGACGGAGGAGAAGGCGAACCGGCTGATGAACCTGCTGCAGAACTGCACGCAGTTCGGGCTGATGGCGGTCAGCCTGGGCTACTACGAGACGCTGATGTCATGCTCCGGCAGCAGCACGAGCAGCGAGATGAACGACGAGGAGAAAGCGGTCGCCGGAATCTCGCCGGGGCTGGTGAGGATGTCGGTGGGGTACAGCGGCGGGTTGGAGCAGAAGTGGGGGCAGTTTGAGAAGGCGCTGCAGAGAATGCAGCAGCAGTAGGGAATTTGATTGTTTGATGGGTTGAGGCTGAGCCCCGCCATTGATGGCGGTGGACTTGGTGACTGAGCTTGCTTTGTTGATGGTGATGATGATATGGGCGTTTAAGTGATTATAATATTTGAATATTTATATATATATGGATACTGTGGATTTACTGTTGACAATATTCTCGTTGTTTTTAATTTGTGTGTTGTTTTGATTTTTTATTAGTTTCTCCTGTAAAATTATGTATTTGAATGGACAAGAATTTTTTAAAAAAATAGATGAACATAGAAATTTAGATGGAAAAAAAAAAAAAAAAAAAAGAGAGAGAGAGAATAAATCCAAACATCATCAACCAAATCCCAGCATTAAAGGTCCATCAGCAATGTGGACATTAGTTCAACCATTTCAATGTGTTTGATTACGTGTGATTTATTTATTCTTCACATTTTTATATATAGTTAAAAATTGTGCAGTATAAAAGACTAAATACGGGTCTTATCCGGGCCAACCTTATAAAACCTGGATCTACCCGATTTATTTATTTATTCTTTTTTTTTTTTTTAAATGGCCTAACCTAGTTCCTAATTGGCTCGATACATTTCGTTCCATGGGGTGAACCGGGCTAGTTCTCATATTTGGGCTCGGCCCAAGAGCAAACTAGAGTTGGACTTATTATATCACAACCCAAACTAAGCAAGTTTGGGTCAACAGGGACTGAACCGGTCTGGTCCAGATCGGCTCTCTTTAGCATTTTGAATATAATATTTCAAAATTACATACGTTACTGTATCATTATTATTTTTAAAAAAAATCAAAGATTAGTTAAATAACAAAGTATTCATTTTTTTAATTTTAGTCCGCTCATAACAAACTATTCATTTCCCTTTTTTAGTAAGTGTAGTATGTGCCTAACGTTACAAGTATTCTTACAACTTACAATATATCACACAAATGTCATCACCTTTGTATCTGTATCACACATACTAATAAAGTTATTTTAATCATTTCTATTTTATTCTTACCACATTTAAATATAATACTAATATTTTTAAAATTATATATAAAAAACAAATGAATTTCTAGTTACGAAAGAAAAGGGGTATATATAATTTATTTAAACTATTAAATCTGAAACTTCAACCAACAAAATTTTATATAAATAATAAAATAAATAAATATATGCTGTAAGGGTAATACTATGTACGACAGTATTTACTTACAACTCTATAGCTCTACTCCCCTGCTCTCCTCTGCCTCCATTCAATATTACTGACCAACAGAAATAACCACACAACTATACATACATAAAATACATATATATATATTATGTGTCTGTGTGTGTGAAATTAATTTAAAATTAAATTAGAAAAAAGCTAAAAGTCCCACAAGTGCGAAGTGTGATCAAGAAATGTGGCGGACTCAAAGCTGCAGCCATTCTCCGGCGACGCCATTCGCACCATGTCGAACACGTCGGCTTCCTCCTCCAGCTGGCGGTACTCCTCCTCGCTGCACGGCGGCGCGTGGCCGCAACGATCCCCACAAAATCTCCCCTTCCCATCATCACTATTATAATCATTATTATTATTATTATTATTATTATTATTATTTTTGAAGTCCTCCTCCATAATTCCGACCACTTCCTTCTTGCACTCTGCCATCTTCCTCAGCCTCTGAAGCTGCCCACGTTTTCAATTCTCGTCATTATCTTGCAATGGATTATAATAATAATAGCAAAAAAGTGTTTTGTTGCAAGTTAGAAAGGTATAATTGAAAGTTTAATTTTATCATCGAGTACTGACATATTTAATTGTAATTTAAATTATATTTAAAAAGTATATAGTATTATACTATTTCAGTATATTCAATCTAGATGGTATAGAATAAAATCTTATATACTAATACTCTCTACAAGTAATATACTTATTTAATTTAGTTATACACACTAATAGTTGTATCAAGTAGAAAGGCAATAATATTAAAAAAAAAAAAAAAAAAAAAAAGAAGAAGAAGAAGGAGAAGAAAAAACTTACTGAACAATATTATTGTGAATACGTTAGAATTGTAAGAATATTATTTCAAAAAAATTAATAAAAAAAAACAATGAAATATTTATCTGTGACTGACAAATCAATAAAGTACAACGAACACATTACTCCTAGATAGAGAGAGGACGAATTAGTTTATAAAATAGTTTTATACTCAATTTAGTAAATAAATAAATAAATCCAGCATATTTATTATTATTACTCCTTTCCTTCCATTAATTTGTTTCGTAATTGTATTGTACGTACCACATAATTTATTATTTTTTTAAAAATATAATTATACATTTTAATCAGATTTTTAAATTCATAATTTATAAATTCTTTTATTTTAATTAGTTTATTTAATCATTTTAATATTAATCTACAGTTATTTTTACTAACACATTTCTTAAATTATTTACTAATTACACGATACTTCAAATTTCGTACATAAACTAAATAGGATAATTTAGTTGGAACGAAGAGAGGAAAAAGTATTAATTATGATGAGATGTTTTAATAGAAAAAAATTGTAGTACTCCCTCCGTCTCTTGCTTTTTGTACGTGATTTTTCAATATTAGTATTATATTGTGTTGCAGTAAAAAAAGACAAGAATATCTTATTAGTATTGTATAATATAAAAGTAGTGACATTTGTATAATATATTATAAATTAAAAAGATATTTATTAGATTAATTAAGTAGTACAATTACTAAATAAGAAAATAGTATCCTTGTTAATTTTGGGACATACAATAATGTAAAATCGTATCTTTTTTATGGAAGGAAAGAAATATATATTTTTTTAAATACAAAATTCAAATAATAAAAAATTAAAATTTGAACGATTAAAAAAAAAATAAAAATCCGGGCCAATAAGTAGCAGTAGTGCGGACCTGGAGGAGAAGGGTTTGGTTCTCTTGTCGGAGGGCGTCGAACTGTTGGGCGAGGTTGTCGTAATTGGCTTTGAGGAGAGTGTACTGACCCTCGATGTGCTTCGATTTGGATCGGGCACGTTTGTTCTGGAACCATATAGCCACCTGGCGGGGCTGGAGCCCCAGCTTGTTGGCCAGGTGCTGTTTCAGCCGGAGCTCCGGTCGGGACTCGCTCTCGAAGGTTGTCTCCAGGGACCTTATCTGGTCGTCGCTGAATCGACGCCTGTTTCTGTTCATCGACGACCTTTTCGACGACATTCTTAATTGATTATTTCTCGATATATATATATATATATATTTATTAATTAAAACACCTTCTTCTTATGATAATATGTTTGGGATTAATTTTGATTGTGGAAGGTAGGAAGAGGAAGATGAGGGTGGGTAGCGTGTTCCGATGTCTTAGGATGTATGAAAATGGCGCCTGTCAGAAATGTGTTGGTTGCTGCTAGGCTATGCATCATTTATTTATTGGGACAAGAAATGACGCATCATCGCAACATCGTCGTCGTGTGCAGTTTTAATGATCGGGTCCCGCATATATATATATTTATGGTGGGTCATGGGGATTGCACTTGTGTCGTAAGATTCCAGGTGTCGACTTTCTTCGTCTTAATGTAAATGTTTATTGATAATCTTATCGACGACCCTATTATATACTTCCTCCTTTTAAAAAATTATAATTTATATTTAAAAAATATTGATATTATAATGATAATTGATAAAAAAATATGGATAAAATTTTTTTTTTTTGTTTTATGAATGTATTAGTAAAAAAAAAAATAGTAGCAATTATATAATAATATTAAAAAATGTAGAGATATTTTTATAATTATATAATTATTTACGAAAATAAAACTATTATTTTGGATTGAAAAAAAATTGTAAACATTTAACACGAAAAAAATATATTTCATATGATCTACTCCTCTCAAAATATAGGCCAGGTATCGCAGACAAGACCTGGAAACTTGTAAATGATTAACAGTTTGATAGCTTTGTATTTATTAAATTTCAAAATATAAATTAGGTATCACAGACGAGACCTGGAATCACGTAAATTATTACTCTCTCCGTCCCAACTAAGGTGCAGTATTTGTTTTGGGCATAAATTTTTAGGTGTATAGTATTAAGTAGGATAATTTAAAAATTAGGTGATGTGATGGAGAGATAAATGTATATTTTATTCTTTTTATTTGGATGATACGGTGAGATAAAGTGTGGGATAGAAATTAAGTATAATTAATTATTTCATATTTTGAAAATATTGCAAAATGTTCGGACATATCCAAAAAAGTAACATTTTGATAGCTTTGTATCTATTAAATTGTAAATTTATTTATAAGATTTGTTCGAAAAATTCCGTCGATTCATAATATAAATTTACCTCTATATAAATTTAATACATAGGATATGATAGGAATAGATGGATCAGAGGGATTCTGTAATGTTCTAAGGCAGCGTGTGTATGAACGTGTGATTTTAAGTGTGGTTAGAAATTGACAGGAAATAATAAATGGTAGAATTAAGACAAAAAGGGGTCCCCTGGGGGAGAATACGATATGCCCGAAACAACGACAGCGGGTGACACGTGTAACGATGTGCTGTCCGGAAGCAGCCAATGGCGTCCTGCCAATGTGGCCGTCAATCCATTTCCCTCCAGACTTACGTGTCCCGTCGTCTTTCCAAGACTCCGAAACTTTCAGGCCACGTGGCTTTATTCCATTTCACATTTGGCTGTACACGTGGACAGGACTCACCTCACTCGTAATTTCCACATTTTCTATAAAAAAACATACTCCGTCGGCTCCTTACAGATATATTCTATCTATTTTTTGCACGAATAATTTAGAATATTAATATTATATATATATAAAATATAAAGTATACATTGTGTATATTATATGAGTGTATGTATATATATTTTATTTTTAATAATATTTATTAAAAATTGTGTTTTTAAAAATTTGTTGAGTGAACAATTGAATAATTTTTTTTTATTATTCTTAATTCACGATCTAAATATCAAAAAGCATTAAAACATACTCCTCTATAATAAAAAAAAAAAAAAGACTCAATTAATCAATATATTCATTTATTTTTAAATAAAACTCTATCGTGTATTAATACAGACAAATCCAAGTTATCACGTAAGAAGTGATATAATGGTGTCGAACATAAATTTTGGTATCCTAAATTCATTCGAAAAATAATAGTTGCGAGTTGCTGCATCATAAAACAAAAATAAAAATTAAATTAAATAAATCCAATCTTATCATAAAAATATATTCAAATCTAGAAACAAAACATTCAAACCTTGCAAGAGTGTCGACAATAATTCCAATGTATCTTTCATATAACTTCTGATATAATTTCCACTTGGCAATAACATAGAATTAAACAGACAATTCAGAAATTTAAATTTGTCCAAATATTACTATTATTATTTTTAATAATTGAGCTATGATGGGTCAATTAATAAAATATAATAAAATAAAATACACATCACCTACAGAAGAGCAGCATATCGTGTGTGTCCGTGTGGGGACATTAATTATATATATATATATTTATTTATTTAAATCAGAAAGTCGTTGGTTCATACTAGAATATATATATATATATATATTAATATATTAAATTGTCGTTTAGTATATACTTTCTTCATCCCATCACAATTGACATTATTTTCATTTTTTTATGTCTTATAATAATTAATACTTTTTTATTTTTAGTAAAAATTATTAAATTAAAATATATTTAACAAATATAAATCAACTTAATTAACTACATAATATATAACATCATAAAGACGTAGGATCCATTCAAAATTTTTTTATTTCTATCTCTCTCATAAAAATATATATATATTTTTATCTATATTTAAAACTACCAATCTTTTATAAAATTAATTTATATTAATTATAAATAAACAAAAATATTTTTTTATTAACTTGTATATAAAAAATTTTATTCTCTACAAAATAATATCTATATTACATATATTTTTTAATTGATGTATAATTTTTAAATTTTTAAACATATATTTTAATTTTTTTAATCATATATATTAAATTTACTTTAAAACTATAAATATTATTAATTATATAAAAAATAGTATCATAATTAATTATTATTAACTAATTAAATATTTTTACCTTAAATACCGTATCCATCCCGGTTCAATTTCGGTGGGACGGAGAGAGAGAGAGTATTAAATATATTATGTATATATATTGTTTCACACTTTGGTAAGGGATGTGACAAGTGTAGGGTGTGTGTGAAAGCTTACCCATCAAAGACTTGCTTTAATTTAGGGTTTATTTTTATTTTTATTTTTATTTTTTGTGACACATGTAATTAAATTAATGGATTTATTTTGATAAATAAATATGATAAATGCATGGACATTTTGAGATGTGCACGTCTCTTTCTATAAATATTCTTTGACATAATTTCTACCAATTCGATGCTCCCAAAAGTTGTAGTAAAATTAATTATTTTTATTTACTTTTACATAACATTATACGTAACACCTGAATTTAGTTAGTTTAGTGGAATGCTTTCGATAACTTATATGTGTATTTCACCTTCAAATTATCATATACTCCATCCGTCCACAAACTAATTTCCTATTTTCTTATTTGGGACGTCCAATAACTATTGTCCTATTTCCTTTTTTAACACAAATTTTAAATTTTTATCTTTAATTCATTTATTACTTTTAATCTCTACCATACACTTAAGGGCAAATTTGTCTATTCATAACAAAATGACAATCACCTAAAAAACCGTGCAAATATACTTTAAAACAATAGAAATTGGATTGTGGAGTAGCATATATACTTAAATAATCTTTTTAAAATTATTTTGTGTTAAAAATATATTAATGAAAAAAAAAAACTGCGAAATATCTACAATACAAACAAAATTATCCTATTAGATTGTTAACGATTTGTTTTTTGTCTAGTGACTTCAATTCGATTTTTATCTTTTCAAACGTTGAATTATAACTTCGAATGTGTTGACTTGTGATTTTTTTTTTTTAAAAAAAAAAGAAAAAATTTAATATTGATTAAATTTGATATTTCGTGGGAAAAAATTAATACTCTTTCTGTAAAATGTACTATCTCCGTCCATTTACAATGTTTACATTTACATTTGGCGCAGTGTTTAAGAAATAATAATATTTTAATTATAGTGAATAGTTAATAGTATTGTAATGATATTTTTGTCCTTACTTTTTTGTATAAAAGTAAGGGTATTTATGGAAAAAAATAGAGTATTTAATGAAATATTTATTTTGTAATTGGACGTCTCAAAATAGAAATATGTAAACATTGTAAGTGGACGGAGGGAGTATTATTTTTGAGATTTTGTATTATATTAAAAAATAATATTTTATTAATTAGTTTAAGTATGTGAAATAATTTTGGTCATTTTACCCCTTGTGCTTTATGATATACTCCCTCTATCCTAGATAAGATAAACGTATTACCGTAGATACGAGAATTTAGGTAGAATATAATTAGTAAGTAATTAAGAAGTGTATTAATAAAAATAATTGTAAATTAAGATTAAGATAACTAAATAGTTTAATTAAATTTTTTTAAAAAAATAAAGTTTAAAATTTAAAATATGATTAAAGTGTATAAGAAATTTTTCAAAAAAGAAAAGAACAAATTACGTAGGATGGATGAAAATATAAAATAAAAATAAATTATGTGGGACAGATGAAAATAAAAAATAAGGACAAATTATGTGGGATGAATAGAGTGTGTGATAGTATATTTATAATTTATATAAAAATGAATGATATTCATGTGCTAACATATAATTATTTTTCTTTTGAAATATTGAATTCAAAAGTATTATTGAAATAAAATATCAGAGTAGAAGGGCAAAATCAAACTTAAAAGAACACAGAGATTTCATTAAACCAGAGTTTATTTGGTTTTGATTTGAAAATATTTTTTCATTAAAATATTAATTTAAAAATATTTTGATATGATATATATTACACGAAAAAATCACAAATTTTTATTATAAATCGTGCGAGCTTGTAAAAAAATATTAATTGAAAAAATAAAAATAAAAACACACCAAAAGTTATTGTAAAGTTCTATTGTGATCGAGAATTATAAGATTAAAATCTAATAGTGTAAAACCTCTCACTAATATTTATAATCAGACATAGATGAAAGACAAAAATTTTGTGTAATTAATCATCACTACCAAAAAAAAAAAAAAAAAAAAATTGTATATTTGTAACGAAATTTTGTTTATAAAGTTCACGTAGTTAATGTAATTTTATCCCTAAATTCGTCTTTAATGTCATTAGTAACGAAAAAAAAGGATTTAAAGACAAAAATATTTCGATACAAAAATAATATTTTCTTATAGTGCATGGTAATATATATATATATATCATTTTCAATTTCATTCTATGATACAAAATCAATATTATCTTTTCATACGATATAGTATATTATATTTGTGCATAGTGTCTTATCCTCAAGCTAATTAATAAAAATGTAACTAAAATATATTAAACCTTTTTTCTTTTGACATACTAATTATTATTTCTCTACTTTTTTTCTTTTAGGGTTACTTTTAAAATAATTTAATTAGGTAACTAACTTGAATAAGTCATAATATTTAAATAAAATATCTGTGGATAGTGGTAGACAATTATTAGTCAATTCTTTTTTGACTCTCAGGTCCTAAAGTGGTCCATTTCTTTTTGACTCACCACTGCCTATTTCTTGTGTTCCTACTAACGGGTCATTTCGAAATTTATAATAAATTAAAAAATAATACTCATTTTATCCCAAATTATAGTTTAGGTTGTGTTTGACATGAAATTTAAAAAATATTAATATTATATTAATACTGGGTAAAAGACTTTTTTATCTTTGTGAGTGTATTAGTGTAAAAAGCAGTAGCAATTGTATAATAATAATGAAAAAATAGGAATAATTTTATGCTAATATGATTATTTATGAAAATGAGACTATTATTTTGAAATGGACATAAATAAGACTATTATATTGAGATGGAGAGAGTTATAATTTATTAATTAATAAAAATATTTAAAATAAATAATTTTCTTTATATTTTATGTATAAATTAATGATATATATAATAATATATTTATAATTTATATAAAAATTAAAAGATATTTTAGTATTAATATATAATTATTTTTATTATAATATAAAAATATTTTTAAAATTAGATAAATAAAAATTATTAAAAATATATACTAGTAAAATAGAGTGTACGGTTTTTATAATTTGGTTGTTTATTATATTTTTTTAATTGTTATTATGCAATCATTCTAAATTTTTTTAAAAAAATATAATCTTTTTGTGTCACTTCTAAACTGTACATTTACTTTTAACACTATAAATATAAATTTATTCGAATATTTTAATACTAATTGATAGTATTATGTTATATAAAAACAAATACAACCCTTAGCTTTATAAATACATATTTAAAATGCAATTTTTATTAATATAATATAAATGCACAATGTGATGGAAATAGTTTACATATCATTTGTGGTAGAATTAGAAAAAAAATTTGCCGGTGGTCGGAAATTTTTAATATACTCCATCTGTCCAGTTAGAAAATATACATCTTTTTATTTTGAGACGTCCAATTATAAAGTAACTATTTCATTAAATACTCAATTTTTTCCACAAATACTTCTATTTTATATCACATCGTTACTTTTATACCAAAAAAGTAAGGGCAAAAATATTATTTCACTACTTTTACCTACATACTATAATTAAAATACTATTATTTTTTAATCTCCGTGCTAAAAGTAAATGTATACTTTTAGCTTGGACGGAGGGAGTATAATATATAATCATTTTATAATTATATAATAGAATTTATATTAAAAATATATATAAACAGCGTTTTTAATTGATTTTATTTTAAGTATTTAAATCAAATATAATAATAATATTTTTATTAAATCTATATGAATAATTAATTACTTAAATTTTAAATTTACACAAATAAGGGTTAACACCCTTCTACAGTTCCCCTGTATAGTACATACTACCTCCGTTGCATTCTAAAAATCCCATTCATCTTGTATGTGATATTAAAATATTAATTATTATATCATTATAAATTATAAAAAAATAATGTAAAAATGTTTTAATTATTATTTTATAATACTAATAAAAAATTATTTTTAAAAAAATTATATAAATATAAATATATTTTTAATATTAAATAAAATGAAATAAATGTGACCGACGGACGGATGAAATATTTTATACTATCAGTGATATTAACGCGCGCGTGTATATATATACTAAGGCTAATCAATGTGATGTTGATTAATCTTAACCATCAAGTATTGATTAATTCATATGATAATGAGAAATTATTTAATACTTACTTAGTTCGACTTCAAGGTCGTATTTTTTTTTTTTTCGTGTTAATATTTATATTTAATTTTTATTATTTTCAAAATAACTCACAAGATCTAACCCTGGCATGTTCTAGAACACATCCTAATTAATTAGCTGTTGGGCCCAAATTAAAAACTAGCGGTGCCCAACATAGGCCCAAATCAATTAGAAATAGTGCAATTCCTTAATTAATTTATAAATTTTATAGGTAGAGATTTTTATTTTTATTTTTAATGTTACAATTTATTTATTAGGTTTACCATCAATCCATCATGCCGTATTTCTACTGAAATAAGGGTTGGCTAAAGCATGGAGGAAAAGATTGTATTACACAATAAATTTTATATGATTATAATAATCAAAAGAAAATTGTAGAAAAATAATATCTCTGTTCTTTAAAACTTTTTTTTAATTGTGTTTTTCAAAAATTAATACTCATCTATAATTCAAATTTATTCATATTTTTTGTTTTTTTTTTGTTATCCAAATTTATTTTTCGTTTTCTTTAGTAAAAAGATACTACTTTTTTTAATATTTTATTTACGTAAAATGAAAACAGTTTCTATTTTTATCAATTTTTTTTTTTAAAATTAAGTGCCCGATCAAATTGACATATTTTTATATAACAGAAGGAATAATAAATAATACAAAATATTTTTTACAAAAATAATTAAAAAAATTCAAATATTAATTACAAAATATTCAATTTAAAATAATATTTTGCAACCTTTTGAATAATATTTGTAAACTAGTTTTGTGACCGGGTGTGGTGCGTGTAGAATATAAACAAAAAGCCAAACTTAGAGATTAAAACTATAAATATCAAACTGTTCAAATTCAATTATAAGTTGGCAAAATTCAAAATCAAAATCAAAATATAGACACATTTCATTTAAAAATTTTAAAATTCAATTATAAGTTGGCAAAAACCAAAATCAAATATACACACATATCATTTAAAAATTTTCATTCCAAAATACTAAAAATATATACAGAGAAAAAATTGTTGGATATATTTTGGAAACAACTCACATCAGTAGTCATATACACCTTTTATTGTTATAAAAAATATTAAATTTATATTGTTACATTAAAATTTTTTTGTTTCAATCGTATTGTTTAGATAGAGATTTTTGGAGGTTTTTGAAAATTTAAAAGTTTGGAAAAAAAAAAAAAAGTAAAAAGTTAATATTTGATTTGATATTTTGTAAAAAAAAAAGTGTATTTGATGTGGTATTTTTTTGAAAAATAAATAATACCAAATGAGTGAAAGTGTGTTGGGTAAAAAAATTATTATTTTTGTAGTTCCATTGCTGCAAATGTATATATGTGGAAAAAAAATATATTTTTAGATTTGTTTTATTTATATTTAATTTTTGTTAGTAGATAAATAAATATATATGTATCTCTAAGAATTTTAAATTTTTAAATGAGATGATTATTTATCAAATCTTACATTGTATAGATATCAAGTTCGAATTTCACAATTCCCCTTTATAGAATTAATTGCAGACGGGAAGCACAATAATGGCATATGCTCTTCGCCACTGTCCACTGGTTTTGGATTAACAAACTGTCAATCTCCATCACCAACAGGCAATGACACAGCCAAAAAAGGAAAAGGTTCCAACAGCAACAGCACACATCACCAAAAGGCAATTAACAACCAATCCAAAACCACGCAAAAATTCCACAATTTCCCAATCAAATCCTCAGAACAATCAACAAGTAACAAAAGCAACCATACCTGTTGGAATTGGAATGGAAGGCTCTTCCATAGCAGTGGCCGCCGCCGCAGCGTTTGCCTTATCAGCTGGTTGCAGCCTCCTCCTCTTCTTCCTCCCCTGCGATAAAACCGCCACCGCAGCACGCAGCTCCTTCTCGAAGCCAATTCACCCCTGCATAAGAACTAATTCCTCCACATCCACAGGTAAATACATCGATTAACCTACCTACGTACAGTTTTCCTAAATTTTCTCCGATCGAGTGCTGCATTCGGCGAATCGATTAGGTATAATTGAGGTGAATTCGCAGTGAAAGGAGGAGCGAGAAAGCAAGTGAGATTCGTCGGAGTGGAAGATGGTGATAGCAATCAGAACAAGAAAATGGTGAAGAAAGCGGCGGCGGCGGCGAGGAAATCCCCCGGCGGGAGGAAGCAAAGGGGAAGCGTACCGGAGAACTGGCGGCGTCTGTACTGTGGAATCAACCGCTACAGATCGCAGCAAGCTGCTCTGCTTATGTATGCATGATCGAAATTTGTGCCAGCTGTAATTTCCTAAAAACAATTAAATTAAATTAAAAATTGAAGGGTGTGTAGTGTAGCTGTACATATTTGCCTGTCTTTATTTAAGATGGACTGCTTGTATTTATTTATTTATTTTTAAATAAATAAATTGAATATAATAGGTTTGTTCCTTTACATTGTTAACTCTTGGCTCTCGCCATAACTTCACAGCCAACCCAAATTATACTTTCTATATAGTTCACTTTTTTTTTTTTGGGGATTATCATAAAAAAAAATATATACATTTTTTTATTTTAAGTAAAAAACCATTAGACTGTATTTTTTTTAACTATAAAAAAATAAATAATTATTGCTCTATTTTATTAAAAGTAGTACATGTCAAATAAACACACACTCATGACCACATAAAGAATTGTTAAGAAGAAATTAAAGATTGATAATGTTGCCCTATATCAAAAGGCCCTAACCTAATCAAAGGCCCAATTAAAAACCCAAATCGGAAGTAACTAATAAAGGCCCAATTTAGGGCCCAAATGATAGACCCAATTAACGGCCCAACTATTCATCTTCGCTCGAGCTTAAAATGTAGCGGAGAGAATTCTTTGGAAGGGGAAATTTTGCGAGGAACAGAGGATCAGTTCGAGGTTTCAGATCCGTGAAATTGAGCAGGAGCTGCCATGGGATATGTGCTACGAGTGAGGTTTGCGTCGTTCTTCACGGGCGCCGCGATTGCTTCCGCCGCAGGGCTCTACTTTCTCCAGAAGGATTATAAGAATGCTCACCAAGCCATTTCGGAACAGGTTTTTTGAATTTTGTTTTAATTAGATACTGCTGCTTATGGTTTGTTAAGAAATATAGATTGTGTTTAGCTCGATTGATTGTTAGAAATGAAAATAATGGCTGGATCAGGAGTTGTAGTGTGCAATTTTTTTGGTCGTCAGAAATTGAATGGTAATACCTATAACTTATAAAGTGGAAACCTGAATTGAATGGAGGAATTGAACATTTATAATGCCAGGAGGAAAATAGGTTAGATTGAGATTTCAATTTTATATGTAGTTGTGGAAAATGCATATCAAAGTAGCATCACAGCACATAATCAGCTTGATTAATCGGTTTTTAAACTTACAACACGGATGTTTTACATCGGTTTTGTTTTCACGAGCTTGATTAATGTGTGAAGTGGTGAACCCGTGACCAAGAGTTCACCCAAGATACGAGGCCATCCCTCATGGACGCCTTGAATGAACTCTTGAGTGTTATCACTTGGTTCATGTTCTAACAAAGCTAGAGAAAATGTGATACAATTGTTGATATGGGGCTCACAAAATGATATTTTCTTGTTGATGACACGGTATTTAACATTACAAAACACAATTGCTTGTGGATGTAGGCAATATGATCGTTCAACTTCGGTACTTAACTTTTCCTACTAATTGTTATTTATCTGTAGTTATGTGGTGTAAGATACAGACTTCAGTTAAATAAACAAAGGCAAAGTCTTAACAACTGCTATATTACCTTGTACATTATATTCTTTAGGGTAGGAAACAACGAATAAACTAAACGAGTGTTTTTCACACAACTCATGTCACTGCTTGTTGCATTCCCTCTCTATCTCTCTTTCTCCGCATATATATTTCCTGAGGACAACTTAATTATAATACGTGCAGTATATAGAACTTGCAATTGAATAAGAACCTTGTTGCTACTGCTTTGATCATAATGAGATTGATGTGTTTCTAAGATTGCATCATATTTTATTGAATTACTTTTTTATACACCATTAGGGCTTTGTGGAAAATTTTCAGATGTAAGCAGGAAAAAGATAATTGATGATACAGATTGGTGAAATCAATCAAATGATCAATTGGCAATACCCTTCAGTTGTAAAATCTATTGAATAATCTCCACTCTGTTATAGATTTCATCACGATGAATTTCCTGAAACTATGGTGATGGTGGGGTTGTGCATTGAGTCTACAGGCACTACTTAGAAATTGATGTCCCATAGAAATCCAATGATATTTGAGGAATTAAAGTATTTTTGGTAGCTCATTTGATATAGTTAGAGGCAAAAATTATTGCGATTTAAACATGATTAGGGTAAGTTGTAAAGAGGATGCCTTGTGGGTTGCATGAAGTGAGCATACACTTGTGGAATAATTTGTTGGGACTACGAAAGGATTTTTGAAGATTAACAAAAAAATTTACACTTTCGAGCTAAGTCATTAAATTTCATTTATTGGTTTGTGGATTTGGAGAGAGAGGAAAAGCAATGTGGAGAAAAACATTCATTATGTTTGATTAAGAACGAAAATATAAAAATCAAATAGAAACCAATGTGTGATGTCATTCTTTTATCCAGTCTCTTAAATATAGTTTCGTAGTTGTGTATTTAATATTATATTCTTCAAAATCTAAATCACTAAAATATACTAGTATTTAAAACTTCATGCTTCTACTTTTGTTTATTATATCGAAATCGAATTCTTTAAACCTAGCATGTTAGACATTAAACTTCCTTTTTACTTCTTTGCCATGTTCTAATTTAACAAACAAAACTCTTAAGTGGCATATCTAAGCCTTGTTCACTATCTACAAGTAAATACTACTCCCTCCGTCTCACCTACCATGTCCACGTTGCCGTTTCTATATGTTACACATCTAATTTTACTTTTTTTTTTAAAAATGATTACACACCTAAATCTCATTTTAAATTTTTTATTTTTTTTTTTAATTTTAATTAAACTAATTAGTTATCTTAGTCTTAATTTTTAATTATATTTATTATAGGATAATTATTTTTACTAATATATTCTTAATTATCTATTAATTATACTTATCCTAAATTCCCGTGTCTACAGTAACGCAGACTTTCAATGCGGGACGAAAAGAGTACTATTTATGTTTGTGTTTATTATTCTTACATCATGTTAATCTCTAATCCCCCAAATTTAATCATATTGCATACTTATTATTTAGCAATTCAATGTTGGCGATTTGAGATGGCTTCATACATGATTTGGAGTATCGAAATGTCAAAGACTGTATTCTTTCACTCATTTGGCACTATTTATTTTTTACTAAACATCACATCAAATATATTTGTTCTCATAAAGCATCAAATTAAATTCTAATTTTTTACTTTTTCTAAATATCTAAAATTCCAAAAGTCTCTACACGGAGTCTTTTTTGACATCCTATTTACTTCTCCTGTTCCTTGTTTATCACAGATGAATAGCCTTTACCAAACTCTGGACGGGCGTGTAACTGCGCTAGAGAATTTGAAAAAGGCCGAGCCTCCAAAGCCTGTGGATGCTGCCGAATAAAAACTCCAACTGAACATGTCCTTGTGAGATTCTTGTAACCCTTTTTATTTATTGCAATTATATTTAGGTTTAGTTTTCTGGAACAAATTGAGCTCGGTTCTTACAGCTTTGCAATGGCACTAATTTATTGTGATCGGATCGACCAAACACAGTTAATTTGCACGCCGCAGGCCAAATCATACCGACTCTCACAAGATGCTGAGAATTTTGAAATAAAACAGACAATGGTACGATGTTTTAGTTTCAAGCTGTTGTGCATTTTCTGTGGTCTATAGCCTATAGCTTTCCGAGAGTGTGTACAATTCGAGTAAATATTTTCCCGGCATTGCCCCGGCTGAGTCTGGTGTTGTTCCTATAATCTTTTTTAAATTTGATTTCAGTTTTTCTATTATGCGACCAAAGAGCAAAACCATACATCCAATCTGTGTTGAGATTTTGAGTTCCTATTTAAATGGGCGTGAGGAGGCCTTTCGTAGGCATCTCGATTAAATTAAATTATGGTAATGTGCGGCCATAAACACCAAGAATTTTTTGATTCGGCAAGTGTACGCATGCATGCGGGTTATTTATATGGCTAACGATACTATTAATAACTATAGTACTATCTACAAATGAAATAATTAATTTCAGAAATTATGAATTTAATTTTATATCTACATAATCATCGATTTCGATAAATTATTATAGATAGTTGAATTTATTTCAAGTGATTATGGAATTTATTTAAATAAATTATTTGGATTATGGAGAGGATGACTGTAAATTTAAACATGGTCATGTCTGATCTAACGCACCTGTCATCTCATCCTTTGTTACCATCGCATAATCACAATCATGGTTTGTTAAAAAAATTTTGTGTGGAATTGTATTGATAATTTTTTTAATAAAAAAATAAATAAAGAGTTTGATCGGCGCTATGATTTTTGCTATTTATTTATAAGTATTTAAGAGGGTTTTTAGTGAGCAGAAGCAAAGCACGCGTATGGCCATCGTTCTTCCGATAATACCTCAACAGCACCACCACACCACACGCCCCGCCTATTTCATCCACCCATCTCACCTGCATTCCAGATGCTTCCACATCCAATATCTCCCCTAAACCTTAATCGATCTTCGCCTCTCCGTCGGAGGAGAAAACACTATAACAATCGATGACGGTTCTCACATTCCAGGCCATCAATTACCCCTCCGCCGGCCACTGCTGCTTCCGGCGACGCAAAAACCTGCGAAACCGCACCGTTCGATGTCGAATCGCGGAGGCGTCGGGGAAGCCGGCTCCGATGGGGCAGAAAACCAAGTATAAGGACGGATTGTTCGGGAAAGTGTTCATGACTCTGTTCGCGAGGAAGATGGAGCAGTTCGCCGGCGGCGATAAGAAGCAAACGGAGGGATGGCTGGAGTACGACTACGAGAAGTTTGTTCAGGTGTCGAAGAGAGTAATGGAAGGACGGACGCGCGTGCAGCAGCAGCACGTGGTGCGTGAGGTTCTCCTCTCCATGCTCCCTCCCGGCGCCCCTGCTCAAGTACGTCGGTTTCCATTTTTAATTTTATCTATTTATTTTTATAAATTCAATTATAGTGTAATATTGGATTGATACAGATACATATATGCATACATATGTGCTATTGCAGTTCAGGAAACTGTTTCCTCCCACAAAATGGGCTGCCGAATTCAATGCGGCAATAACAGTGCCATTCTTCGAATGGCTGGTGGGGCCCTCTGAGGTACACTCCTGTAAAATTTCTACGTTGTTGTTCATCGGTTCACTGTTTATGAAGCAAGTGCCATTTGATTCATTTGAGTTGTATGTAAGGATTTTGAAGTGTTCTGAGATATTGGTTATTCAGTAGGTCATAGAAGTTGAAGTAAATGGGGTGAAGCAAAAAAGTGGAGTCCTTATAAAGAAATGCAGGTATCCATACAAATACAAATATGTATGTGTGAATATATATATTTTTTTGATCGGAAAAATATTTATTTCGTCGTTTATGTTAAAAGGGAAATTGATGGTTCTCCACAAATTTTCTCAAAAAATTATAAGTTCATAGAAGGGTTTTTTCTTATCATTATTTTTTATTTTTTTATATATTTTAATCAATCAAAAATCTTTTAGCTCATCTCTCTCTATATATAGTAATGGGAGTTGGTTATAGTGCTGATTGTGCTATTTTATTTGAAAAAGTGTGTCATCCATTCATACTTATAGGTGTGCTGGTTGAAAACATATTTTGTGCTGTGAAAATCAATAGTAATATGTGAAAATCAATAATAGCATGTGTTGTGTCATGTGTGGACTATATATGTACTGTGAGTTAATATGGTTTATTTGTATTATATTAATATAAATGGTGTATTGTCTTTCATTATATCATGTATTAGACTATTATCTATTATTATGTACGGTGCTGAATGTGATAAAATTCGACTCAGTATCGGCTGTCATAGTATTGCTCTGCAAGCCAGCCACGTTGAGTTTGAGTTTGCTTTCAATTAAATAATTATTATAAAATGATTTAGGGTGTTATTTACTTGTATTTTGAACTGTTCTAAGTGTTCTTGATTGTTTTGCATTCGATTTTTTTTTTGTTATATAACTTTTCCTTTTTAACTACAAAAATTGATATTAGAAACACAAATGAACAAAGCCTAACACTAAAACCTAACTTTCTGTTCAATTAGGCTCATTCATCATTCTCTAAGATAATCCAATTACTTCATCATATGATTTCTCAAAATGTCATCTTCTTCCCCTTTTTCATCATCATAGTTTCGATTTAATGTGTAATACCAAATGATGGATGATGCATCAAGGTACTTGGAGAACACCGGCTGCGTGGGAATGTGCATAAACATGTGCAAAATCCCAACCCAAGATTTCTTCACCAACGACTTCGGACTTCCCTTAACCATGACTCCAAGTACCCCGTGTTTTTTTCCCCATTGCGCTCGGTTGTGTATAAAATACAGTGTTCTTATTGTTGCGCTTTCGTATTTTGCAGATTTTGAAGACATGAGCTGTGAGATGGTGTATGGACAAGCTCCACCTCCATTCGAGGATGATCCCGCCTCCAAACAGCCTTGTCTTGCCGATTTTTGTAATATACCGTTCTTCAACTTCTGCCCATCAATATCGAGTGAGAACTAATTTTTTTGTTTTGACTTCTTGGCTGCATTGCAGGCTCTGTGGCAAGTCCTAGGTCCAGTTTCTGTCCCAAACTTGAAGCATAACAAAGTGATGAACTGGTAAATATTTCATATATATGTCTGTATGTTAATATATTTATCTGTATCTATAATGGCATGATGTGTTCTTTCAAGTATCACCATACTTGTCCACAGTAATTATATTTGAATTCTATATATATTTACTTAAAAGATGTTTCTGGAGGCGTCACATATAAATTGATAACCCTTCGATCACGACTTCACTCCACACCACCAATTACATATTTTATTAAATAAATAAATAAATTTAAATAAATAGATGTTGTATATCCTTGTAAAATTAAATTGTTAGGTAAAACAGTTAATTTAAAATTGTATAAAAATCAAAAAATCTCATGTTTGAGATCTATTGCCTATATTCGTCGTCGTTCATGTGCAAAATTCAAATTCATAAGCTTACATGTGAGGGGATTGTCCTCCATAATATGATACTTATTTCTTCAAATTAAGGTTTTTTAACTTAAATCATATACCCTTTATATCATCTTTTATTGTTGGCTACATTTTATGTGTAATTCATTTGTAGGAAAAATTCACCCACAAATTATTACTCTCCTTTAATAAATAATAATCAATTTATTTTTTATTTTTTCACTTATCATGCTGTTTTTTTATTAAGTCTTTAATCAATTTTCTGTAATACTCTATTACTTATTTAATTTTACATTAAAATACTAATGTGAGTATTTATTTCAATCTTTGTGTCCTAACAATGTGACATAATGAGTGAGAGAATATGTTATAAATAATACTCCCTCTCTCCAAGTAAGAAGTATACATTTATTTTTGGGGCGAAGTTTAAGAAATAATAGTATTTTAATTATAGTGGGTAGATAAAAGTAGTGTAATGACATTTTTGTTCTTACTTTTTGGTATAAAAATAATGATGTGATATAAAGTAAGGATATTTGTGGAAAAAAATGGAGTATTTAATGAAATTGTTACTTTGTAATTGAATGTCCTGTATACTTTGTAGTTGGACGGAGGGAGTAAATGTTTTGATAATTAAAAAAGTATATATCGATGCAATTGTCCATTCAATATTTACTGTATTTATAATTAAAAATTATTTATATTTCTAATAAAAAATTATATATTATTTATTTTCATATTGAAAAAACAATAAAAAAATACTCCCTTCGTCTTAATACAATAGTCTTGTTTACCATTTTTGTTCGCTCTAAAACAATAGTTTTATTTCCATAAATAACTATATCACCATTAAATTACCCCTATTTTTTTTTATTACACGATTATCATTACTTTTTACACTAATACACTCACGAGGGCAAAAAAGTCTTTTATTCATATTTTTTATCAACTACTAATATAATATTAATATTCATTAAATTCTCGTGCCCAACATAATTAAGACTATATTTATGGGAGAGGGAGTATATTTTAATGACATTTTTACAAATTTTCATGACACTTTTACAATTACAATAGCTAATTTAAAAATAAAAAATAAAAAATAAAAAAATTGTTACATTATCAATTGTCTACCTCGGATTGTGGAAAAAATAAGTGCAATTGAACCACTAATTCAAATAATTCTATGACTTAATGACTTATGTCACGTGTCCGGAAGCTGACACGTCCGGCGCCTAGGCCACGCCCGCGCTGAGGCCCAGACCAGTCGTCCTCTATGCGCAACACGCCCGGGATATACCATGCAGTATGGAAGAATCATGCGGAATACGTACCTGCACCAAGATATGGGTCATTAGACAGCCGTACAGGATAGGGGCTCGCACACATGGGACGGACTATGGCTGAGAACCAGGGGCAGGAATGTCAGCCCGTGACAAATTCCCCCACTTCAAGTCGCAAACGCCCTCGTGCGATGCTACTTGAGTGCACTGACGTTGTTTCTTGCACCCTCGGTATGCCTCTGCCGAACCTTTTCCTGCGTACCATTATTTTGGTGCTCACCAACAGCCAGCGAGGTCTTTTGCCATAATCTATGTGCGACCCAACTTTCGTTGCGCCTCTCCACACACCGTCCGGAATATCCGTTGTTGCGGCTTGTGCGATTTTCGCCCGATGATCGTCCTTAACGTGGTTTTCTCCTCACGAACAAAGCTCGGCCCTCTTGGCCTTTTCAGCAACGTCGAGCATACTCCCCTCCTTGGGATGTCCAGTTACCTTAGGACATGCTCTTCCTTGACGTGCCCACCGACATGTTCCTTGACTCGAAACATGTCCACTTTGTCGCTTCGTTCGCCACCAGCGTCAAGGTCCACTCTTATACCACATGTCACGTGTCTGGAAGCTGACACGCCCGGCGCCTAGGTCACGCCCGCGCTGAGGCCCAGATCAGCAGTCCCCTGTGCGCAACACGCCCGGGATATACCATGCAGTATGGTAGAATCATGCGGAACACGTACCTGCACCAAGATATGGGTCATTAGATAGCAATACAGGACAGGGGATCGCACACATGAGATGGACTATGGCCGAGAATCAGGGGCAAGAATGTCAGCCCATGACACTTATCATGATACCTCGTATTGTGGAAAATAAGTGCAATTGAACCACCAACTCAGATAATTCCATGTCATGATTGTCTCAAACATTCTCGCAATAACATGACTAGAAAAAAAATACTCCATCCGTTCCGAAACTAAATATTCATTTGCTTTTTGCATATAGTTTTAGAAATATTAGTATTACATTGGAATATAGTAGGAATAAAGTAAAAATGACTAAAATAACCTTATTAGTATGTGTGATATAAAAGTAATGACATTTGTGTAATATATTGTAAGTTGTAAGAGATTTGTAATGTTAGGTAGATAGTATAATTACTAAAAAAACGAAATGAATACTTTGTTATGGGGCAGACTAAAATGAAAAAATGGATACTTTGTTATGGGACAGAGGGAATATTGAAAATACCATTAGTTATTCAAGTATGGTTCTTGTTTTAACAAAGAAAATTACTAAAAATATATTTCTTTCGTCCCATTTTAATTTAATCTATAGTTTTTTATTTTTATTTTTTATTATTTCATTCAAAAATATTGATTTGTTATTACAATAAAAGTAATTTTACAATAATACCTATATATTTTTAATTTATACATAAATTATAAATATATCATTATAAATATAAAAATAAAAACAAAATTATCAAAATTACTTTATACATTTTCTCTTACTTGCCTCAATATGAAATTACTTATTGTTCACTACATACTATTTCAATAACATTATTTTTCTTACAAAATATCACGTCAAACTATCATTTAAATAAAAATTCAAATCAATACATTATTTTTAATCGATTTCAAACTGAATTATCTTCCCTAAAAAATATTAAATTAAAATTTTATATTTTATTTTACAATAAAATTTTAATTTACATTCAAGATATTACATTAATTCTACTAATTTATATCACTTTTGAAAAAAATATATTTTTTAATTTTTGAAACTCTTATTATTTAAATTCAGACACAAACAAACTAACAAACAAATACACCTAAAAGAGTGTCAGCAAGTAATGATCCGTGGTGTAGGAATTGACTCGTGATCGTGAGATCATTAATTCAAACTCCAATACGTCAAGATTGTTATTTGTTCTTTTGGACGACTGAAGTATTTGGACCAGCAAATTCAATAAACTATTTACATAAAAATGTTCATATAATACACATATACTTACATGAATTTTGAATAATGACAATATTAATTTCTTCTTCTTCTTCTTTTTTTTTATTTTTTATTTTTTTATTTTTTTAAATATGGTGTGTTTATTTGGGGGTTTGTAATTTAGTTTGGATTTTAACAGTGAATATTTTGAATTTGAATAATGCTATGATGAGATATAAATAAATATTGATATAATATTTTTAATATAAAATTATTTTTTTTAGTATAATATAAAAATAAAAAATAAATAGTTGATTTAATATTTTTGAAAAAAAGAATATTTTGTTAAATAGTTGAAATGTGATAAAGTCCTTGACACTATATATCAATAATAATTTTTTTTTTAAAAAAAGAAATATCATACTAAACATATTTTTTTTTTCCTTAGAATATCAATCAAATATTCAATTTTTTACTATTCTGAAATTTTAGAAAATATTTGTTTTAATATTTTATGTTTAATATATTTATTAAAATTGCACATTATTTACAAAATAATAATAATAATAATAAAAGATCTTAAACTATTATCTTATATATGTTGAATAGTATTTAAAATTATATTTTGACTTGTTCCTAATTCCTTTTAGATAGAAGATGCAAAGTATATTGAAACAGTCAACAAAACAATTAATGAAAGATAACCGTTGGCCTGTTATTATTATTATTATTATTATTATTATTATTATTATTAGAAAAAAAATTAATTTTGATCCCAATACGATAAACTCTTAATTTTAATGAATTTTGGTCTCATAGTTGAAAAATTAATAGAAATTGCTGACGTTGACGTAACAGAATTGATGTAGCAGCTGACTTTGAAAGTATACGACCATGTACAATTATACACGGCCATGTTGTCACACAATGTATATTTCAATGTACAATTATACATAACATGACCATGTATAATTCTAAACGACCGTGTACCTTTTTGTTTTTATATAAAATTCTATTTTTTTTGTTATATTTTTTTAAAAATATATTTTGAACTTAAAATAGTTGATATAGTTAAAATGAAAAAAAAAAAAAATCAATAGTAATTCTAATATAATTAAAAATATATCAATTTTATTATAAAAAAAATAAAAAATAATTCTAATATAATTAAAAATATATCAATTTTATTAAAAAAAATCAAAAGTAATTAATTATTATTAATTATTTATTAAAAAAATTCCTGGATTAGATTTTCACTATTCGTCATTCCATTTTTTCCTTAAAAAATATCAAATCAAACACCTATTTTTCATTTTTTTATATTATACTAAAAATCAATTTTACATTCAAAACATCACATCAACACCTATTTATATCACATCATACAACTATTCAAATTCAAAATTTTTACTATTCAAATCCCAACTCAAAATCCAAACCCCCAAACAAACACAACCCAAAAAAATTCTCAAAAGTTGTATTTGTCAGTGGGATTTTTATTTTGGATTTGAGTGTTAAATTTTGAATAATAAAATTTTGCCAATATTGTATGTATTAATTTATTTATAGTTTGAAAAGTCTAACATTATACTCCTTAGTGAATTAGAACTAGCATGTATTTTAAAAAATATTGTATATATCTTCTAAAAATTATATGAGATTTTTCTATATTTTTTAAAATATTATACTTTTCTCCGTTTTATTAAAAGATTGTCCTTTTTTATTTTCGTCTGTCTCAAAATAAGGTTACTATTTTCTAGTTTAATAATTGTATTATCTACTTAATATAATAGATATGCTTCCAACTTATACTATATTACACAAATGTTATTACTTTTATATTACACAATATTAATAAGGTATTGTTATCTTTTTTCACTATAACTCATTATAATATTAATATTAAAAAATTTATGTGTAAAAAGTAAACGAAAACTTTGCACCGGGATGAAAGGAGTACAAATTTCTTAACTAATGAGTTCCGTGCAATATTTTTAAACAACAAAATCTTATTCAATTCTTAAGTTGTAAAAAAAATAGTGCAAACTTTTTAAACTATAAGTTAGTTATAAATAATTTTGTTTAGAATTGAAATAGTTATTTGATTTTATATAAGTATATATAATGATGTGATATTTTGAATGTAAAATTAATTTTTAATGTAATATAATAAATAAAAAATAAATGTTTGAGTGTGTTTGTTTTGTGAAATAATTGAAGTGGTATTTTTTTATATGAAGTATGTGAAATTGTGTAAATAATATAAAAATAATGAATATGTGTAATGCATCAATATTTTTTAAAAAATACTCCCTCCGTCCCGTTGGAAGAGTGAGCGTTTGCTTTTTGCACATAGATTTTTGAATATTAGTATTATATTGGATTGTAGTAAAAAAATACAAAAATACCCCTATTAGTATGGTGTAATATAAAAGTAATGACATTTGTGTAATATATTGTAAGTTGAAAGGGTATTTATTATGTAAAGTAGGTAGTACAATTACTAAATTATAAAATGTTAACATTGTTTTGGGATAGACGAAAATGGAAAAATGGTAACCTTTCGATGGGTCGGAGAAAGTATATAAAAATTTCTCACAAAAGAGACACACTCTTAAAGTGTGTTTGTCCGTGGGTTTGGGATTTTGGGTTTGAATTTTTGAATAGTAAAAAATTGAATTTCAATAGTTGTTTAATGTGATATAAATGAATATTGATGTGATATTTTAAATGTATAATAAATTTGTAATATTATATAAAAAATAAAAGTAACTATTTAATGTGTGAAAAAAGAATATGAATAATCTAAGTATGTGGTAAAATCTAAGGAAGAATACAAAATATTTTTTTTAAAAAGTTAAAATAATAAAATCATATCAAAATCCCACAAACAAACACACATTGATTTTGGACGGATCAAAATAATAAATCGAGGATGTGTTTGTTTGGAGGATTTCTCTATATTTCTACTATTCATCAAATTTTTTTTTTTCATAAAAAATATCAAATCGAACATCTATTTTTTATTTTTATATTATACTAAAAATTAATTTACATTCAAAATATTACATCAACGTATATTTATATCACATCGTACAATTATTTTAATTCAAAATTTTTACTATTCAAAACGCAACTCAAAATTCAATCACCCATAATGAATTAATTCTTGACGAATATATATTTTACATTTGAAGTCACCGAAAGTGAACGTATATTTACCAGGTAGATGGTAGGAGATTTTTTTTTTTTATATATATAAAATAGTTCCTCCGTCCGCCTCTAATGTTACATTTACCTTTTATCTCATTATACTTAACATTAAAAATCTCTTTATATTTGTATAATTTTTGTACAAATGTCCTTCTATTAGTATTACAAGACACTAATGAAATTATTTTTGCAATTTTTTATTAATTTGTACTATATTTTGATATAATAATTAATATTCAAATATCAACACACACAAAATAAATAAAACTATTAGAGCCAGATAAAAATAGTACAATATTTAATTAAATCACAACATAATACCAAACACACCTATGATGAAATTAAGAGCTTGTTTTGAGAGTGCGGGGGTAAACTTGTGACATCCATTCAAACTTTCAATGCATCCAAATTTTAAGGAGATTTACCTCGTTATAATTTTATAATTATTATATAATTAAATAAAAATAAAAATCTGAAAGGGAATATTTTTTAAAATTTTTTTTATTATGGTCGAACATTTGTATTCAATTTCTGCTAAAATTAGTATAAAGCTGCCTTGTATTGTGTGTATCGTATATTTGCAAAATAGCTATTTTAAGGTTATCTGTTATATCGCTGAACTTTCAATTTCTTCGGGTCAACGATCGTTTAATTAAACCCAATATTTTATAGTTAGATACATGCATCATACACATTTAAATAATTCCAACAAGAATAAAGTAACATTATTTATTTATTTCATTAGTAATAAAACCAGCTTGAAATCGTCCTGAGTTTTTTTTATTATTATTTTTAAAAAATTTATGTATTGATAATAAAATAAATATATTAAGTGTGTTGTTCAAAGGAAAATTTTCTGCATGCTATTTTGCTATGATTAATATTATAAAAACATAATAGAGTATATATTTACACAAATATTCTAACCATTAAAATAATGAATAATTTAACAAAAAAAATTATTTTTATATCACACGTGTAAAATTACTTCAAACTCAAAATACAACACAAACATTTCATTATTTAATAAACTTGTTCTAATAAATTTGTTTGATCAAACACTAGAAAAAAATAAATTATTAGCTAGATATTTTATGTTAGATAGTACTTATAACTATTTTGTTTTCAATAGCGTATTTATAGATAATAATAATAATAATAATAATAATAATAATAATAATAATAATAAGAGAGAAACAAATCCAACACGTTATTACTAACCAATAAGACGTACATACATTTAATTTAATTATTTGGATAAAGATTATAATGAAAGGAAATTTTTTATATTATTAAATAATTTATTTAGTCATATTTTGAATTTTTTTTTTGATTTTAAAATTTTTAAAATTAATATTTAAACATTAGTAAAAAGAAATTAATAGGAATTTGAAACCACAACAAAAATTATCTATTTAATATATTTATACTAAAATTTAATACTAATTTCGTCCGCTCTAAAAGTCATATATTTATTTTTTTACGTATTTATCTGTAAATATTAATTATTATATAAAAAAATAAAAATATTTTTACAGAGTATCTAATAATAATTAAATGATGTTTGTAAAAAAAATTAAAATACAATGACACAGAATGCCTCTAAATTTTAGAGGCAGTAGGAGACATAAGGAGTATATATTTATAATATTATATTATGATTTATTTTTATTAAAATTAAATTAAGTTTTTTTTTTCAATTTTAATATTATTTTTTGATAAAACAATTCATAATTTTTAATAAAATATAATATTTTTTAATATACATAATATTTTAAAAACAATAAAAATTATTTCACCAAAATAATATTACAAAATTTTCAAAATTTAACAATTAACAAAAAAAATCATATTATTATATAAAAAAATAAAATTTGTTTATTCAACAAATTTTTTTTATCGAGATTAATATTATAAAAAAACATAATATATATTTTTACATAAAATATACTCTATATATATTATATTTATTTAGGACTATAATATGTATTATTAATTCATTTGTTTGTTAATATGATAGTTTATATATCATACTACTACTATTATTATTATTATTTAATAATATAGAACATGCTATTTGAGTGCGTTCTCAAGAATTTTCGATCCAACCTAATTATTATTATTATTTTTATAAAGTGTATTGTTAATAAAATAGAATTTTAAAATTTTAATTTGTAGAGAAATTATAATTTTTGTATTCTTATAATATAATAATTGTACTTATTTTATATTATATAAAATTCTAATATTATCTATAAAATAATATATACTGATATATTCTTATTAGAAAAAAACTTTGGAATAGTTTATTTGAACTGAGTGGTCTTATGTATTTGTATTATATCAAAAGCACTGCTACATCACACGACTTTCAGAACAAGTAGCAAATCATTTCCGTTGAATATACCTTACTATTATTTTATTTTTATTTTTATTTTTATTTTAATGTAGGCGCAATTTTAAATTAACACGGCGTGTTGAGTGTAAGGGATGGTTCCGATTCCCACCAAAAAATTCATATATTAATACTTCATTGCTATCATTTGAATCAAGTCTCCGAAGCATTTGCTCCGCCGGTCGCCTCAGCTTGTCGTCGTCTTCGTCCTGAATTCCCACCCGCTTTTCACTGAGCGAGAATATTAGCTTGCCATGCCGGCGGCTCCACGGCGGCTCCATTCACGGCGGCGCTTGCTGCTATTGTGGTTTCTGCTAGAGGTTGGATTTGAAGCGGAGATTGTTCGAGCGCAGACAGCTAATGCCACCACCGATCCTGTTGAAGGTGCGCAACCTTTTTGCCATTTTTGGACTTAATTTCGCTATCGATGGCTTGCGTGCAAGGTGTGTGAAGGATTCGTCCAGCTAGCTCTTATCTGTCTGCAGCTACGACTTTGAAATTATTAAATGTTTTAGTCGTGATTGGTTGCACGTGTATATATGCTTCGAATGAATTTTGTTCGTGGTTAGGACGTGGGAGTAGAGAGTAGAGAGTAGATATACTGTTTTTCAACGTGGTTTATGTATTCGTTAAAATTAAAATCAAGAACGCAATGGATGTTAGATTAATTATGCAGATTTCTAATAGTTTGCAAAATTTTGAAGTAAAAATCTGCATCTCAGCTATTTCTGTTCCTGATCCTATTATTGGTTTCCTCCTTGAAGATTAATCAGTGGATCATCATAATATCAGGAAATTTTCTTTAGGACGAATAATAAGAGTTTGCATATCTGAAACTTGGTTTTATTTTGATGAGTGCTATACACGAAAACATATCTAATATTACATTTATTTGACCCACAGCAAGAGCTTTGAACACGGTATTCGAACAATGGGGAATTTCTGCCTCGGCTCAATGGAATATCAGTGGAGAATTGTGTAGCGGGGCTGCCCTCGATCCAAACCCAACCCTTAATCCGGGTATTAAATGCAATTGCGACGACAATAACGGCACTACTTGCCACATTACTAATCTGTAAGTGATCAAATGTGGTATAACATGCAGCACAAGCACTCATGGAGAGTATATTTTGCATTCTATAACTTATTTAAGTCTCAGCAAGTTTTCCACCTTATGATTGACCTACATAAGTTTAGGTCTACTTTAATGTGATCCAAGTGGGAAAGATGGACTGATTGTGTCTCTTCTTTACTATTTTACAGGAGAGTATATGAATTGGATATTTCGGGAACAATTCCTGATGATCTTTGGAATTTGACCTATCTAACTGATCTGTACGTTGCATTCATTTATTCGCTGCTAACATGTCATATTTGTGATTATTCAAACATTAAAGGCATTAGCTAATCCTCTCCTGTTTCAGAAATTTGGGACGAAATTATTTGACAGGTCCCCTTTCTTCATCCATTGGACGTCTTACTCACATGATGTACTTGTATGCTGTCTTTTTCTTTCTTCCCTGCATGCAAACAGATTTCCTAACCCTTTTTGCATGGAAATACAATGATTTTTGTTCTTTGATCTTGTGCTGTTAGGAGCTTAGGTCCAAACAGATTTTCAGGTGAGATTCCCAGGGAACTTGGAATGATGCTTAATTTAAGATCACTGTGAGTCTTTTAGTTTTAATATATTGTTCTAACCAATACAGTTTCATCCAGGAAATTGGAGATGACTATATATTTGTACTGAATATTCAGTGCCTTCTATTTGCTTATGTGCAGGGGAATCAGTGTGAACAACTTCACAGGTTCTTTACCATCCGAGCTAGGGAACCTAACAAGATTAACCCAAATGTAAGCAACGACACTTTTTACACTGTTTGCAGAGTTTACTAAAGCAATGGACAATATTACATACTGCTAGCATTGAATGCCTCCGATGTTATTGTATTAACCTTGATCCATCCTCTTGTTAAAAGCAGCGCCTTATTTTGGTGAGTGGATGTTGGAATTTTATTTTGAATTATTTTGTTTTTTATCATGATAGATACTTTGATAGTTCTGGAGTCAGTGGTCGAATACCGGAAACATTTGCTAGACTACTGAGCCTGGAGACAATGTAAGAACTCTACCATTTCCTTTACTTCTAACTTAAGCAAAGTGATTGTATTGTTGTGATTTTAGGTGGGCATCAGATAATGAACTCACAGGGCAAATACCGGACTTTATTGGGAATTGGTCTAACCTTGTTCGATTGTAAGACAAAGACAACTATTGTAATATTGTAATTGTGCACAACATTACCTTCCTCCTAATATTTTTCATTAGCATAGAAGAAGAACTGCTCTGTTAACTATCCAGGATATATTTTAAGCTCCTTCACCTTAAAGCCTATGGTCAGCTGACTGGGACTATGTTTACAGGAGGCTTCAAGGAAATTCATTTCAAGGTCCAATACCACAAACATTTTCCAATTTAACCTCTATGACTGACTTGTACGTGTTGTCATTCTTTTGTCTCTCATAGTATTAAGTTTTGTTCCTGTTGAAAGCTTTATGCAGAAGCTAATCTGTGCTTTTTTTTGTTTGTTCTTAATATGATGCTTAGGAGAATAAGTGACATATCTGATAGGGGCACTTCACTAGACTTCCTTAGAAACATGACTTCTCTATTTTCCCTGTAAGCATATGAACTCTGATCACAATTCTCTACTTTAATTACTAATTGGCAAGTTCTAATCACAGTGTACTTTTTGGTTTTTTATTTTTTTTCTTCGGAAGAGTTCTAAGAAACAACAACATTTCTGGTTCCATACCCTCAGATTTTGGTGCTTTACAGCGCATGACACTTTTGTAAGTAACAATTTCTTGAGAACACAGTTATTTAATAAGGATTATATATGCACTTCAATTTATTTATTTATTGCATACATTTCATAAGCATAGGAATGTGATAATTCAATGTTTCAGGGATTTGAGCTTCAACAATCTAACAGGAAGAGTGCCAGATTCACTTTTCAATCTCAGCTCCCTCACTCACTTGTAAGATGCCATGAATTAACTGCAACTTTAGACTTGTCTCCAAAACTCCATCCCCTTGTAGCATACGCCAACAAAATAGAAGCAATAAAAAAGTGTTATATTTGTCTTTATGCAATTTTCAGGTATCTTGGCAGTAACAAGCTAACTGGGACACTGCCATCCCGAAAAAATCCAACTCTCCAATATATGTGAGCCTATTTATGTCTTATTCACACCCCAGGTATATGTACCTAACATTTTGTTATTTCCTGCAGAGATTTATCTTACAATGAATTATCAGGAAGCTTTCCGTCTTGGCTCGGCGAGCAGAACTTACAACTGTATGATCAAATATTTCCAATCCCTTCTTTTTAACTTGTCCATAAAATTTTTTACACCATGTTCTACTTTCTGGCATTTGCTAATTTTTATACTGATGCTGCTCAGACTATTATTAATTTTTTTGATGTAGTAATTTGGTTGCCAACAACTTCACCATTGACAAGTCAAATAGCAGGTGATCTTTCAAGTATTCATGCCATGCAGAATTTCAACATTAACTCCACATGTTTAGTTTGTAAACGAATATTTGTTGCTGCTTTACCATTTAGAGCATGACGGATATTATCATTTCATTGTAGTGCCTTGCCTTCTGGTTTGAATTGTCTTCAAAGGAATTTTCCCTGCCATCGAGGATCACCTATTTGTATGTGATAGAATTCAATTACTACTATCTTTTCAAAGCTGAGAAATAACTGAGAAATTAAGTGGATTGTCTATGTTGCATCACTGAAATTTGACAGATTCTTTCTGGATGATGTTCTACAGATTCTAGCTTTGCAATTAAATGCGGCGGGGAGCAGATTACGACTGCAGATCAGGTTGTATATGAATCGGATAATGAGACTCTTGGACCAGCAACACATTACATGACTGGAACTGAAAGATGGGCAGTTAGTAACACTGGTGCTGATAGTGAGAATCCAAGATACACAATCTCCTCCTTGATGCCATTTACAAATACTCTGTATACAGATTTGTTCAGAACTGCTCGAGTCTCGGCTGGATCATTAAGGTACTATGGCTTAGGACTGGAAAATGGTAACTACACTCTGATTCTCCAGTTTGCAGAGTCGGAAATTGTAGAAAGTAGGACATGGAGGAGCCTCGGCAGGCGACTTTTTGACATATATATCCAGGTCAGTCTTTATCTAATTAGACCCCTTCTCAAATATGAACTTCATCCATCTTCATGTTCAAAACAAACTTTGCTTCTTTATCATGCAATCTGCTCTTCAAGGTGCAGTAGTTCAACTGTTTAAGTAACTATTAATCAGTGCCGATTTACAATTTTGTAACAAACTCTTGTGAGCTTCAGGGGAAATTGGAGGAAAAAGATTTCGACATAAGAAGAGAGGCTGGAGGAGTTTCTGCAAGAGCTGTTGTGAAGCAGTTCAGAGTTGAGGTCTTGGAAAATCATATTGATATACATCTGTTTTGGGCAGGAAAAGGGACTGTTTCTATACCTAATGAAGGCACATATGGACCTTCAATTTCAGCAATAAGTGCTTCGCCTGCCGGTAAGTTCAAGCTCCGGATCAAGAACTTTGAAGCTTGTTTTCTTCATCATCCATGCAGACTGACTCCATGGTTTTCATACAGATTTCATTCCTAGTGTTTCAAATATTCCTCCCGGTGGGAAGGGGAATCGAACCATTCCTATCGTAGCGATTGTTGCTGGCGTTGTAGCTGTTGTCTTGCTTTGTGTGGTTGCAGTATGCTACGCAGTCTGGCGAAGAAAGAAACAGAAACAATTGGAGAACGAAGGTAGTATTATAGTTCATGTGCATTTCTATGATCTTCGCAATTCGAATTCGTAATGCGATTTCTTGTATCTGCAGAGTTTCTGGGCATGGTCGCTCGACCCTCTACATTCAGCTACACCGAACTTAGAACTGCAACCGATGACTTCCATCCTTCTAAAAAGCTCGGTGAGGGCGGATTCGGACCTGTTTACAAAGTAAGTACCTTTTTGAAGAACCTTATGAACATACATTAAAATTGTTCATTGCATTAGTATGATGTTTTGCCGTATCAATCAACAGGGAACACTTGGAGATGGAAGAGCAGTTGCTGTTAAGCAGCTCTCCGCGGGATCTCACCAAGGGAAGAGCCAGTTTATAGCCGAGATCGCTACTATTTCTGCCGTCCAGCATCGCAACCTTGTTAAGCTCTACGGCTGCTGCATCGAGGGAAATAAACGGCTGCTGGTATACGAGTATCTAAAGAACACGAGCCTCGACAAACTATTGTTTGGAGGAGGTGAACACCGCACTCTTAAAGCTTCATCCTTTAGTATATTACACGAAACTGAATTGATTCGATGTCCTTATTCGAGCAGGAAGTGGAGCTTTGTTTCTCAACTGGAGTGTGCGATACGACATATGCATGGGAGTGGCGCGAGGCCTCGCCTATCTCCATGAGGAATCTCGACCGCGAATTGTTCACAGAGATGTTAAGGCCAGCAACATTCTGCTCGATTCCGACCTCACCCCTAAGATATCTGATTTCGGGCTGGCCAAACTGTACGACGACGAAAAGTCGCATATAAGCACCCGAGTCGCCGGCACAATGTGAGGCTTTTCATGTGTTACATTCTTAGTTGACGATCAAGATCGACTCATCTTTGTATTTTTTTGTCGCCGTGCAGTGGATATCTTGCTCCCGAATACGCCATGTTTGGACATCTCACTGAGAAAGCCGACATTTTCAGCTTTGGAATCGTGGCCCTCGAGATCATCAGTGGTAGGCCGAGTTCGGACCCGACCTTGAAAGACGAGATGATGTATCTCCTCGAATGGGTACCGTAGTCGTTGCATCCTCTTAGTAATTGATTCATTATCAACAGGAGTTACAGTATAATTCTCTATCGTTCTTTCAATATCTAACTCGAATCCCATACTATACTGTTATAATGGATCGTCGTCTTCTTTGATGCATGCATTGATCAGACTTGGGACCTTCATGAAAAGAATCAAGAGCTCGATCTGCTCGACTCGACTCTACTCGAATACAATGCGGATGAAGCTGCAAGGCTTATAAGTGTAGCTCTTCTATGCACTCAAGCATCCCCGGTATTGCGCCCGGCTATGTCCCGTGTTGTGGCTATGCTGGCCGGAGATATTGAGGCGGCTCCTGTGACTACCCGACCGGCTTACTTAACCGATTGGAGGTTCAGCGACGTAACCACATTCATGTCGTCGTCGATCACCGGGTAGCTCGACCAAGGTTTGTTCACTTTGTATTTTTTGTCAGTAGTTTAGTTTTTTGATAAATTAATTAGACAAAATTGTCTATAATTTGTCTATGATTTAAAAATAATAGGATTCTGTATGGTTTATAAATCATTAAAGTACATGGAGTAAACTTTCTAACGTACAGGCAAGTTAAAAGTAATTTTCCGAAATAGTTATTAGATAGTAAAATCATTATTACTATAGTTTTGATAGAAATTCGATTGGTGTGGTTTTGAAAAATGGCAAATAAGAAAGAAAAGAAAGTGCAAGGGCAAGGGTAAGGGCAATGTCTTGACCTTTTCTTTATGAATTTATTACATTTTTGACTGATCGTTTATTCAACTCCGTTGACGTTGCCACTTGTGGAGCATCAACATGTATTGGTCATATTTGTCTCGGTTGTACGTGGAATTTAAAACTTGAATATCAGATAATATATATACATATTATTTTTGAATGAGATGAAGATTTATTTATTTTTTCATTTATTATTATTATTTTTTTCCAATTAAGAGAGGTATGGTACCGATTCATAAAATGTGTGGATGAGAGCTTTTTATTTTTCAGAAAGAAAAAAGAGATCAAACAAAAGATCATGTTCCAGGCCCTTAGTTTGATGTAAACTAGCACTAGTTTGAAATTGCTATTGGCATTGAAATAAAAAACATAAAAGTATGAAATAAATATTTATATGGTTTTGTCTAATAAAAGTTATGACTAATTTTTAGTGTAGTCATTGCGAGCAGCAGGAAAAGGATAGTGATCAGAACAATAAGAAATACCAAAATAATCCTCTAAATATAACTAAACAGATTTAATTTAATTTTATACCTAATTAAATAATTGAGATACGACAAAACGTATAAAAAAATTGCACTCTTGTCCACATAAACTAGCGAAGAAGCTGATCAAGCGAGCGAACAGACAGATGGAAGTCAAAAATTCAAACACGCTTTTACGCAAGTTCGACTAGAAACGTCAACACTCTAATAAATTAAAAATACTATTCTTATTTTTATTATTTACAGTTGCAAAAATTAATGCATTTTGTAATTTACGTGTGAACCCCTCGAAAATTTCCATATATAATTAAATGATAAGCACTTCCGATTCCCACCAAAAACCTGTCATTAGCAGTCCGTCCGTAGCTATCGACTATCGTCGTCTTTGAGTTCAATTATGGCTTCGAACCACTGCTCTGCGGATCGTTTCCCACGTTCTACTCCTTCGCTGTTGCCTTGAGCTCCTGCTCTCTGCCAGGTATTGTTCATTTTTACCGAGAATTTAAGCTTGTTTCTATGGCGGTGCGGTGTGTCGACTCGCGGCGGAGGCGGCGGCTAGTTTTGTGGTTTGTATTGTTAGCCGTTGGATTTCCCGTGGATATCGTCCGAACGCAGACTACTAAGGTCACCACCGATCCTGTTGAAGGTACGTGAGTTATTCAGTTCTGGAATGAATTTCATACTCGCTTGCATTTTCTCGCAGTTTCGGAAGGATCATTCAGCTTGCTTAGTTGCTTTCAACAGTCGATTGCACCTACACACTCTCTCTCTCGTTTGTTTGTTGCATTGAAGGGAAAATATGAGGAAAAAATAAAAAAGAAACAGTAATTTTGGTATTGGTTAGTGCAGCAAACAAACTTGAGTAGGGAGAAGCTTTAGAACATGATATATTCAAAGACTATTTGTTTAGTTGTTTTATTTAGCGTTGTTATAAATGAATGACCTGTGTACAGTTGTAGAATTTGATGACTTTGGAACCTTTTGGCCCGATTTGCTGCATGCACATATAATGCTTCAAGAAATTCTTGTTATGAGTAGAAATAATATATTCAGCTTAGTTTATGCATTCATTAAAGTATGAATAAAGCATGTCTGTTTGAGTTGTTATTGATATTGGTGTAAAACTCTTATTGTGGATCTTTTCGACATTTTTTCATTGGAGTGCCAATTTTTGGAAACTTTTAAAAGAAAAAGTCACAGTCGATTATACTTCATTGTTCTTTTGGCTTAGTAACTTCATACTATCATTCAATTTGATCATAAAGATGTCATACACGTCATACACCTTGATAACTAATTAAGAATTTTATTTTATTTTATTTTTGTATAATTCGTATGGTTTATCCAAGTCATTAGAGCAAATATATTTCTTAAGCTTGCTTTTGATAAGCTCGCTTTGATATGCATGAAAATATCACAACATATAGCAAGAGCTCTGAACACCATATTTGAAAGATGGGGGATTTCAGCCACAGATAAATGGAACATTAGTGGAGAATTATGCAGTGGGGATGCCTTAGTTCCATATCCAGTTACAGATGTAGACATTGGAATTAAATGCGGATGCAACTACAATAACAGCACTACTTGTCACATTACTACTCTGTAAGTGATGAAACACGAGACTACTCCCGACACTCGAAGAAAATTTATCCTCAAAGTCACATCAAGAATGTTCCTACTAAGGTTCCAGTCTACTTTGCTGTGGTTGAGTGCTTAAGACCTTATTGCGTCCCTTTACTTTGCAGGAGAGTCGTTCGATCGGATGTTTCTGGTCCAATTCCAGATGAACTTTGGAATTTAACCTATCTAGATGATCTGTGCGTTTCATTTCTAAATATATTTGGCATTAAAAATAAATAGTAACTATTCCATGTGATTTCCTAGGTTTTGCAAACTCTAACCATTAACTTTTCTTGTTTATCTGTTGCAGAAATTTGAGCCAAAATTATTTGACAGGTCCACTTTCTGCATCCGTTGGACGTCTTACTCGCATGATGTATTTGTATGCTGTGTTTTCTTCATTGCTTGATTTGCTTCCCTGTTTTTCATACTTCCAACCTAAAGATATTTTCCACCAGCCCAGTTTCCTTGGATAAGTAATGATTTTTCTTTGTCGGTTGTATCTTGGTAGGAGTTTAACTGCAAATGCATTATCAGGGGAGGTTCCCAAGGAACTTGGAATGCTGACCAATCTAAGATCATTGTAAGTCCTTCAGTTTTCATGTATGAGGTTGTACCAACATAGTCTCTCCCATTCAAGAGTATAATAGTGTTATAATAAATCCTTCCAATAATTTGCACAGGGCAATTAGCATAAACAACTTCTCTGGGCCTTTACCCTCTGAGCTAGGGAGCCTAACAAGATTAACACAAATGTAAGCAATGATATGTTCTCCACTATTTCCAGAGGTCATTAACCATTTGAAAATAGTACATGCTGTTTACAAGTTCAGTTGCCTATGGAAGCCAAATGTGGTATCTTATAAATAATAGTGAAGAATCCCTTCCTAACTATACTGACCTGAAACCTACTTGTCTTTTGGTTGGTGGAAATTGGAATTTTGTTCCTATGTTATCTTGTTAGATACGTTGATAGTGCTGGAGTCAGTGGTCCAATACCTGCAACATTTGCTGCTCTTCAGAGCTTGGAGAAAGTGTAAGAGCACTGAGGAAATAAATTGATCTTCTTACTTTGCTAAACAAAGTAATCATATTGTTCACTTCCAGGTTGGCATCAGACAACGAATTCACAGGGAACATACCTGACTTTATTGGAAATTGGTCAAAACTTATTCAACTGTGAGACATAGATAACTATGCATGATATTTTATCTCTTCCTCTTAATATTTCATTAGCGGAACACCCCCCTTCCCCCCCCCCCCCCCCCCCTCTCCCAAAGAAAATTGAAAGAAAAAAGAAGAAGAATGAGAACTGCATGATGTTTTCTAAGGTCGTGTGATCAGCTCTCTCAAAATATGTTTTCAGGAGGCTTCAAGGAAATTCATTTCAGGGTCCAATACCGCAATCATTTTCCAATTTAACCTCTTTGACCGACTTGTAAGTGCAACCGTACTGCTGTTGTCCATATTCTTATATATGTTATGTTCAGAAGCTAATCTGTTTGGATGCTATCTTTAGGAGAATAAGTGATCTATCTAATGGGAGCACTTCACTAAACTTCCTCAGAAATATGAATTCTTTGTATACCTTGTAAGGATACTTAGCTTAGGACTCACTTTAACCTTTGATAGGAAAATTGTAAATATAACCGATTCTTCTTATTCCTTTGGCAGAGTTTTAAGAAATAATAATATTTCGGGGTCCATACCTTCGTCTTTTGCTGCATTTCAGAGTTTGAAGCTCCTGTAAGTATCCACATCTTGAGACTGCTATGTATATGGTTGAAGAGCTGTTGCTAGTTACTACAATTAAAATCAGAGAACACATGCACCTTAACTCTTTTATAACTCATCCATGTGCTTATGCATTCAATGATTCAATGAGTATGGTGATTGTATGTTTCAGGGATTTGAGCTTCAACAAGTTGACAGGAACAGTTCCAGAGTCACTTGTCAGCCTGAATTCTCTGACTCACTTGTAATACACCATGAACTACTGATGCTTAGAGTTCAGTCTCGAAAATACCCTCCCCTTAGAAGGGTAGCGAAACCAAAAAGCCGTAATAAAATAAGACTGAATCTTATGTATTTTTTCAATTTTCAGGTTTCTTGGTAATAACAAGCTAACTGGGACACTACCATCCCAAAAGAACCCAAGTCTCCAATATATGTAAGTGTACTCATGCTTTGTGTAAACCATGGTTATATGCTCCTAACATGTTATCATTTGCCTGCAGAGATTTATCATACAATGAATTATCAGGAAGCATTCCGTCTTGGGTTAGCGAGCAGAACTTACAACTGTATAATCCGAATAATCCAGAACTTTTTACTATCTTGTTTATAAATCTTCAATGTTGTACTGTACTTCCTCACATTTGCTAATTTATATGCTGAAATAGCTCACATTAATACTTGTGTTGTTTTCGGTGTAGTAATTTGGTTGCCAACAACTTCACCATTGAGGATTCTAACAGCAAGTGAGTTATAAAAAAAGCACCAATGCAAAATTTCAACATGAGTTCAGCCATCGATTGTGCATTTATATTCTTCACTTTTAATGTTCAGAGCTTTGCCTTCTGGATTGAATTGTCTTCAAAGAAGTTTTCCTTGCCATCGTGGGTCGCCTATCTGTAAGTGATCAAAATCTATTACATCCTTCTCGAAGCTGACTGGAAAATAGATATGTCAAAGATGAAGGCCTCCTATTGATTAATTCAAATTTTTTGTTACCATAAGTAGAATTGGATGAAAAATTAGAAATGCATTGAATCAATTCCCTTTAAATGTTCAGATGCATCAAATTTGAACATTTTGTTCTTTTTCCTGGATGATGACCTGCAGATTCTAAATTCGCAATCAAATGTGGTGGGGAGCAGATAAGGACTTCAGATGGGGTTGTATATGAATCAGATAATGAGACTCTTGGTCCAGCAACATATTACATGACTACCACCGGAAGATGGGCAGTTAGCAATGCTGGTCTCCCTGCTGATGCTAATAATCCACAATATACAACTACCACTCTAACACCATTCACAAATACATTGTATTCAGAGCTGTTCAGAACTGCTCGACTTTCGGCTGGATCATTGAGATACTATGGCTTGGGCCTGGAAAACGGTAACTACAATGTTACTCTCCAGTTTGCAGAGTCAGAAATTACAGAAAGTAGGAGTTGGAGGAGTCTTGGACGGCGGGTTTTTGACATATATATCCAGGTCTGCATTAAATTAGAACCTTTCCCCAATGTTCGAAATTGAGTTTGTTTCACACCATCATAGTTGATATCTTTGGTATAATTTTTTCTACTGCTGTAATAATTCTTGATGCTGCTATTCCCTTATATGCTTAGTATAGGTATTATTGAGTACTTCAGAATATATATAGAGATATAAACTATATTGAATTTGTAATATCGGGCTTTAGAACTATTATATGCCACTGTTTCTTTAATTATTGTACTCCAGTTTATTAACCAAGTTTTATGAGGTCCAGGGGAATCTAAAGGTGAAAGATTTCGATATAAGAAGAGAGGCTGGCGGCGTATCTTCAAGAGCTGTTGAGAAGCAATTCAGAGTAGAGGTGGTGGAGAACTATATGAACATCCATCTCTTTTGGGCAGGAAAAGGGACTGTTTCTGTACCTTTTCCTGGTACATATGGGCCTTCCATTTCAGCAATAAGTGCTACAGCAGGTTCTATCGAGCTCAGACTAGAATCGTTGCCATCAAGTTTGAAGCTTGCCATCTCTATTCCTATGTGGATTAATTGAATGCATGATTTTTATGCAGATTTTATTCCTAATGTCTCAAATAATCCTCCTGGTGGGAAGAAGAACCGCAGCGCTCCAGTTGTCGAGATTGTTATTGGCGTTGTAGCTGCAGGCTTGCTTTCTCTAATTGCAGTATTCATTGTGCTTTGGAGAAGAAAGAAACAGATAAATCTGGTGGATGCAGGTAATATAAAAAATAAAAAATAAACAAATCATTCTTTTCAGTGTTCATTTAATCTTTGAGATTTTCATTTTCTTGTTTGGTCTTTGCATTTGCCTTCATTTTCGGTTGTTTATGGTTCACATTTCTGAAATCTACAGAATTAATGGGTATCGATGCTCGACCCTCGACATTCAGTTATGCTGAACTTAGAGCCGCAACAGGTAACTTCGATCCATGTAATAAGCTTGGAGAGGGTGGATTTGGACCTGTTTATAAGGTAAGGACTATTCCAAGTCCAAAGCTTATGTGCAGAATGATCTCAGAAATTAACCTGAACTCTGTGCAGTTTGATTGTTATGTTATATACACATTGAACCTCGAAAACATGGAAACTATTGAATAAATATATCGATTGGCAGGGAACACTTGGCGACGGAAGAGCAGTTGCTATTAAACGGCTATCCGCAGGATCTCATCAAGGGAAGAGCCAGTTTGTCGCAGAGATTGCTACAATTTACGGTGTGCAACACCGGAACCTTGTTAAGCTGTACGGGTGCTGCATCGAGGGAGATAAACGTTTGCTTGTTTACGAGTATCTGAAGAACAAGAGCCTCGACAAACTATTGTTCGGAACTGGTAAAGTAAAAATAGCTTTCTTGAAGCTTTATTACACCTACAATTTTCGTACATTATTGAATTTGAATTGCTCCTCCCTGAATGAGCAGGAAGTAGAACTTTGTTTCTCGACTGGGCCGTGCGCTATAACATATGTGTGGGAGTTGCGAGAGGTCTCGCCTATCTCCATGAGGAATCTCGACTTCGAATTGTTCACAGAGATGTGAAGGCCAGCAACATTCTGCTCGATTCCAACCTCACCCCAAAGATATCGGATTTTGGCTTGGCAAAACTGTACGACGATGAAGTGTCGCATATAAGCACCCGAGTCGCAGGCACAATGTAAGTATCGTCGAAATTTTTTCAAGATTCCATGCCCTTTACATTCTTCATGGATGCAATGTATTGTTTTCGTTTTCTGTGTTTGTCTGAGTGACTATGAAGTGGATATCTTGCTCCGGAATATGCTATGTTCGGACATCTCACGGAGAAGGCCGATACATTTAGCTTCGGAGTCGTGGCCCTCGAGATTGTTAGCGGAAAGCCGAGCTCTCACTCGTGTTCGCCAGATGAGACATCGTATCTTCTCGAAAGGGTACATATATATATACACATAGAACATCATGCTCTGATACCATATTAAATTATCATTTTACTTCAGGCATGGAACCTTCATGAAAAGAACGAGGAAACCGATCTGGTCGACAGTAGCCTCCCCGAATACAATGCAGATGAAGCCGCGAGGATCATATCCGTAGCTCTGCTATGCACTCAAGCATCCCCGGCACTGCGGCCTGCCATGTCGCGTGCCGTGGCTATGCTGACCGGAGACATAGAGGTGGCTTCTGTGGCGACACGGCCTGGCTACCTAACCGATTGGAGGTTCAATGATGTCACCGCCGTGATGTCATCGGCGAGATTTGGAGTTAGCTCCATGAATAGTATTACTAACTCTACTATGACGGCAGGAGGACACCTCCATTCTCCCGTGGATCCAGCCAACCCCATCCTTCTTCATTCTTGAGAGATCATCGATTATGACGACCATGAATACGATGAGGCAAGATCCTTAGTCTCGTCTTCTTCTTTTCGATCTATACAATCTCTAGCTCTATGCTTGTGCTCGTGTCTTTTTTTTTCCCTATTATTAGTTCATTTTATCATCTTAGTTGCGGAAGTGTTCGGACTAGTTCGCCGAAGGACATGGGACGCCCAAAACTACGAACACGGCGAAATGGTACGACATTATGAGTTTTATTAGCTGTATAATTACGGTTATGAGCTTGCGTGTTTTATACATAAGGTATCCTTTTAGTAAAAAAATCTCATAAATTTAATAAGACCCGTGTATACTCGTTATTTTTATATTTTATTATTAAAAAAAAAATTGAATTATTTTACAAAATAAACTTATCAATTTTTCATTTTTTAATATGATATTTTTATAAAAAAAAATAATATTTTTTTTTATTAAGATAAATAATAGTAGTAGTCTAAGTTTGAAATGCAAATCAAACACATCTTAAAATCAGTTGATACGAAATAATTACAAAATAAATTTTGACAATGTGTTTGTTTTAAGAAATTTGGAGAATTTTAATTACTCCTTTTCTGTATTTTTTAAAAATATATCAAATTAATTATTTATGTTTTATTTTCTATATTATATATTTTTCCGCACGTAAAAAGCTCTTCAAATTTAAACCAAAAATATCCCGAAAATAATACCATCATCATGATCAACTATTGATCTTCTATTTCATTTTCTTCTTCCGATCCGATCCCCATTGCAACCCACCAAAAAAACCAAATGTCGATTCCTCTCCCCCTCTCCATCCTCATCCTCCTATCCGCCGTCCCCCTCGCCGCCGGCGAGATCCGTGTCAATGAAATTCGCTCCGACAACCGGCGGATCATCCCCCTGGACGAATTCGGGTTCACACACCGCGGCATATTGGAGCTCAACATCACCCAATTCTCCCTCTCCGGCACCAAACCCGACCCGCCCTCCGCCCTCTCCAACGTCGGGTTCTTCCTCTGCACCTCCGACGCCTGGCTCCAAGTCCTCTACCAAATCGAGGACAGAGAAATCAACTGCGTCCTCGAATCCAACGCCATTAAGAAGGTCTTCACCTTAGATCTCCTCCCCTCCCCCACCGCCTCCCAATACAACGACTCCTACACCGAAATCGGCGCCGATCAGTTCGCTCTCGTCTTCGCCAACTGCTTCCCCGACCTCGCCGTCTCCATGACCGTCCGCTCCGCCATGTACAACCTCGAAGGCGGCGCCAAATCCAACCGCCGCGACTATCTCTCCGCCGGTAAGACCGTCCTGCCTAGGGTTTACTTCCTTCTCTCCTTGATCTACTTCCTCCTCGTTCTCCTCTGGATCGCCGTCCTCTACAGAAAGAGATCCACCGTCTTCACCATCCATTTCTTCATGCTCGCCGTGCTCAACCTCAAAATGCTGAATCTCCTCTGCGAGGCCGAGGACAAATCCTACATCAACCGCACCGGCTCCGCGCACGGCTGGGATATCCTCTTCTACATCTTCAGTTTCCTCAAAGGAATCTCCACGTTCACGCTTATCGTGTTGATCGGAACCGGCTGGTCCTTCCTCAAGCCGTATCTGCAGGACAGAGAGAAGAAGGTTCTGGTGATGGTGATTCCTCTGCAAGTGGTGGCCAATATAGCACAGGTAGTGATCGACGAATCTGGTCCGTTCGATCAGGATTGGATCACCTGGAAGCAGATTTTCCTCCTCGTCGACGTGATCTGCTGCTGCGCCGTGCTTTTCCCCATCGTTTGGTCGATCAAAAACCTCCGCGAGGCAGCCAGGACCGACGGTAAGGCTGCTGTGAATCTGATGAAGCTCACTCTGTTCAGGCAGTATTATATTGTGGTGGTGAGCTATATTTACTTCACGCGCGTCGTCGTGTACGCGCTCGAGACGATTACGTCTTATAAATATGTGTGGACGAGCGTTGTCGCTGGAGAATTGGCGACATTGGCGTTCTATGTGTTCACAGGGTACAAGTTCAAGCCGGAGCCGCACAATCCGTACTTAATGATTGATGATGAGGAGGAGGAGGCTGCCGTCGAGCAATTGAAGCTTGAAGATGACTTCGAATTGTAACATCCTTCCTCCTTTGTGATTGAAGAAAAATTTTTGAGGTAAAAATTGCTCTACCTTGTTATGGTCTCAGCTTTGGTTTATTTATCATCATGCATACTTGCTGCATTTCATGCATAGATAGATACATATAAAATATATATATATATATATGTATGTATAGATAGATGAGTAGATTGTAGTTAGAGAATGTAGTGAACGAATTTGAATGTAGTGATCAATTTTGAAGAAGAAATCTGACAGTAGGCAACTTTTGAGAATAATGAAGAATTCTTTTGCACGGCACCAACACTCTTGGTGGATTTCTTTAGGGGCTTATGGGGTGGATTTTTTACTAACTGTCGGAATCTGCGGCTGCCGTTGTTCTGTGAGTTCCCGTAAACTTCCGATTGTTGGTTGTGTTCTAGGTTGATGTGGATTTAATTTTTAATTTTTTTTTTTTTTTTTTTTTTTCTAATAGTAAGTAAGTACGAAATGGAATTTTTTTTAATAAAAGCAACATTGAATTGATGTTTTTCGTCTAGGATAATTTGTACAGGAGAGAATTTTTTGGGAGATTATATAGCAGTATGGTAGTATAATAATTTTGTTTAGAGTTTTGATTAAAATAATAAAATTATTATATCAAAACAAAAATGATATACAGCCGTGTTTTTTATTGTACACGGCTGTGTTCCAACACAGTACATGGCCGTATGTTTAACACAGGCTTATTTTATTTTATACACAGTATGATTAACACGGGTGTGTTTTATTGTACACACTATCGTAATTTATTCAGATTAGATGTCACATCAATCTCATTACGTTCACATAAGTAATTTTCATTAATCTTTTAGTTATTGAACCAAAATCGATTAAAATTATTTATAGTAAAATTAAAATTGATAAAAAATTTATATTATAATCAAAATTGATATATTTTTAATTTTTTCTCTTATTAGTTCCGGTAAAGCCCCAAAAAAACGTAGTCGCATTGTAAAACTTTTTTAGATGCAAAAACATATTGTTTTATCTTAAATTTTAAAAGGCATATTCCACGGCACACCATAACTAGTCGCATAAGCTCGTCTTTTAACAAAAAAAATAAAAAAATAAAATGTACACATTCTTAAAAATATTAATATATCATATATATATTTATATTTCCTATATAATTTCTCTTATCAAAAAATATTTATTTAAATTATTTCACAAAACAATCATATTTCATTAACAATTTTATTGAACATTGTACAAAACATTTTTTTTACAAAATAAAATATTTTTCTTACACATTTCATCTTATATTCTACATCAATAAGCATAGATTAGAAATATAAGCCAACCGATTTGAAATGTCGCAAAAACCTCGATTACGAGTGCACATAAAATAAATTAAGCAGATTATCAATGTATTACTATTTATTTCATTTTTTAACATTTCCAATACCCAATTCTTTTTACAAAAATTTCAATATAATAAAAATAAATATCTTAATAACACTTTTACCATTCTCAGGAACTAACAATAAAAAACCAAAAAATTCTTGAGTAACAACACAACCACTATTATTTCTACATTTATACACAAATAATTACTAAACCATAATTAAACATCCATACATATATATTCACAAAATATACATACATAAATATAATAACTCTATAATTTCATTTTTTTTCGAAACAAAAAAAAAAAAATCCCCTCACCACTCAATGATCTCATGAGTCAATGAGCATTGGGATGGTATGATCATTAGGGAACTGAAGTTGTGATGCAGTTGAGGTAGAATTACTATTACTAACTGAACTAGATAATTCAACATGAACAGATGTAGAACTAACCTTGGACGGCGCCGACATGACGGCAGTGACGTCGTTGAACCTCCAGTCGACAAGGTACCCCGGCCGTGTGGTCACGGGAGCCACATCCATGTCTCCGGCCAGCATGGCCACAACACGGGACATGGCTGGCCGCAACAGCGGGGATGCTTGCGTGCATAACAGAGCTACGCCTATTAATCTCACGACTTCGTCGGGATTGTACTCGTCTAGTGAGGAGTCGACTAGAACGATTTCCTCGTTCCTTTCGTGGAGGCTCCACGCCTGCACCAAATAATATATCACGTCGAAAACACACCAGACAATATATGAAATATATGAAAATACACCGGACAATATATGTTGTATGGATTGTTAGCATGTGTTATCTCCTCTAACTTATATACGTGTCATGTTACTATATATTGTATATTGAAATCAGTCGTATCATGTGCTGCGTGGACCATTGTGTTGTCATGTGCTATTTTATGTATTGTATTTCTATTATATCAACTAGAGCTGGCAATTGTCGGATCGGGTCGAGTTTTTCAACGGATCAAACTATGCAATCCCAATCTGACCTGCCCAAACTCGTTCAATCTGAAAATAACTCATTAATCCGTTTAATAATTTTATAAACAGGCCAAATGACCCAAACCCGACCAGACTAATACGAAGTCAACCATTTTATCCATTTAAAAAGAAAAATTAAATTAAAATTTCATCAAAGTAAAATCAAATAATCAATTTAAAAAAATTCAAAAGTCATTAGTCAATCAAAAATAGACATACATACATAATAAATAGTAAAAACTATTAAAAATAAGATATATAGATTGTGTACAATTTAAATTAATAATCTTTTAAAAACATATATTAATTTAAGATAATTTTACATATATAATAAATATATTAATTAATATTCATATATTATAAACTAAATGTAGACCTTAACTCTAACTCCACTCCGTTAATTATCGTGTCGGATTCATATCAGGTTGTTCTATCGTGTTAGTTTTTGTCACCTCTAATATTAACATATACCTTATCCTATTAGTTTATATTATATGCATATATATATATTATGTATTGTCAGCACTATGACGACGAGATTTCAATATGTAGCTAAGAGAATGCAGCTTACCCATTCGAGGAGATACATGGTCTCGTCCTCCAAACTCGGGTCAGAACTCAGCCTTCCGCTGATGATCTCAAGGGCCATGACGCCAAAGCTAAATGTGTCGACCTTTTCCGTGAGATGTCCGAACATGGCGTATTCGGGAGCAAGATATCCGCTGCATGGTTACGCGGGGGCATATTCAAATTAGTTCGATAAAAATGAAAAGCACAAAAATCTTAGCTTTAGTCGATTCTTACATCGTGCCGGCGACTCGGGTGCTTATATGCGACTTTTCAGCCTCGTATAATTTGGCCAATCCGAAATCTGATATCTTAGGACTGAGGTCGGAATCGAGCAAAATGTTGCTGGCCTTCACATCTCTGTGAACAATTCGAAGTCGAGATTCCTCGTGGAGATAGGCGAGGCCCCTCGCCACTCCCACGCATATGTTGTAACGCACAGCCCAGTCGAGATTCAAATCTCTACTCCCTGCTCGATCAGGGTAGACGATTCAATTCAATGGAACATATGGTAGGCATGAAGTTATGTATAAGAGAGTTTTTTCTACTTACCAGTTCCAAACAATAGCTTGTCGAGACTCTTGTTCTTGAGGTACTCGTAAACAAGCAGCCGTTTATCTCCCTCGATGCAGCAGCCGTACAGCTTAACAAGGTTACGGTGCTGCACAGCAGAAATAGTAGCTATTTCAGCGACAAACTGGCTCTTCCCTTGATGAGATGACATAGACAACTGTTTAACAGCAACTTGTCGTCCATCCTCCAGTGTTCCCTGTTGAGCGAAACATCAACCTTTCCGAAACTATCAAAATTATACTACTTAAAAAGATCGTATCAGAACAAAAACTGGCAAAATATATTGGGAAGTATTATTATTACTGTTGTATTTTCATAAATCATAAGGTTCGAATTCAAGATGGTATTTTTACCTTGTAGACAGGTCCAAATCCACCCTCTCCGAGCTTATTAGAAGGATCAAAGTCATTTGTTGCAGCCTTAAGTTCCGCATAACTGAATATGGTGGGGCGAGCATCGATACCCAATAATTCTGCAGATTTCAGCATATGAATCATTAAAAATACCGAAGAGAGGTGGTTATAATTTTTAGTCAAAGAAATAGTCACCGGCCTACTGAGTTTATTGCATTACCATCATCCTCAAGATTTTTCTGTTTCTTTCTTCTCCAGAGAATACAGCAGACTGCAATTACACAAAGCATACTTGCAGCTACGACACCAACAACAATCTGTATAATCATGGCTACACGATTCTTCTTCCCTCCGGGAGGATTGTTCGAAACAGTGGGAATAAAATCTGCATAAAAACCATTCAATCAGTCTGCATGGGAATAAAGGAAACAAACTTCAAAGTTTTGAAGAACAGTGCAGCTTCAGAACTTGAACTTGCCTGCAGGCACGGCACTTATTGCTGAGATCGAAGGACCGTATGTACCTGCAGTAGGAATATATTCAGTTCCTTTACCAGCCCAGAAGAAATGGATTTCAATATGGTTCTCCAACACCTCAGCTCTGAATTGCTTCACAACAGCTCTCGTAGATGCTCCGCCAGCCTCTCTTCTTATGTCAAAATCTTTCTCCTCCAATTTACCCTGGAGCTCTTGAAATTTTAGTGAATAAATAAGAAAATAATCCCGAGAAAATATATATGTCTACTACATCACACAAAAGTCATGTTCGATGCCATGCCATCAATTTCAAAGTCTATATTCAACTTGAAGATGCATGTCTATTGAGAAGGCCTGTAATTTAACCTGGACATATATGTTAAACACACGCCGCCCAAGGCTCTTCCAGCTCCCACTTTCTGAAATTTCGGACTCTGCAAACTGGAGCGTCACAGTGTAGTTACCATTTTGGAGTCCTAAGCCATAATACCTTAATGATCCACCTGATAATCGAGAACTTCGGAACAGCTCTGGATGCAAAGTATTTGTGAATGGTGTTAAGGTGGAGGTGGTATATTTTGGATTCTCGCTATCAGCACCGGCATTGCTAACAGCCCATCTGCCAGTGCCAGTCATGTAATAAGCCGCTGGGCCAAGAGTCTCGTTTTCTGATTCATATAAGAGATCTTCAGCCCTAAACTGTTCCCCGGCACATTTAATTGCAAAGTTGGAATCTGCAGAACATCATTCAGAAAAAATCCATAAAAATTGAGTGGTAAGATTGAATCTATAAACAATAGAAAAATTGCACTTTAGAATTTTTGAACAGTTCTGATGATTGTACAAAACATGTTAGAACTAATAAATGGGAAGACATGTTCATTTTAGAAGGTTGTGATGGTTGTTTCTCACTTACAAATAGGTGAGCCTCTATGACAAGGAAAATTTCTTTGAAGACAATTCAATCCAGAAGGCAGAGCACTGAAAAGCACGAAAAATAAATCATGCTCTGAATGAGAAGATCAAGAAATATGTGTACAGCAAACAGAAAGATTTTCGATGGAGCTAAACAGGTGTAGATCATGTTCAGATTATCCATTGCTTGTGCTTATAGGTTCACCTGCCATTAGAATTGTCAAAGCTGAAGTTGTTGGCAACCAAGTTACTACATTGAAAACACAAATGACATTAGTGTGAGCTGTATCAGTATAAACACAATGTAAAAGATCTATAAACAAATTAAGAAGATCTGGGATTATATGATTGTACAGTTGTAAGTTCTGCTCTCTGACCCAAGAGGGAAAGGCTCCCGATAACTCGTTGTATGATAAATCTCTGCAGGCAGATGTTAGTATGTTAGGTGCTTATAATTGAGTCTAGACAAAGCATGAATTTACTCACATATATTGGAGACTAGCAGTCTTTTGGGATGGTAGTACCCCAGTTAGCTTGTTATTGCCAAGGAACCTGAAGATTGAAAAGATACTCATAAACCACTTTATTTTACCGCATTTTTATTTGGCTACTCTACTAAGTGGATGAATTTTTGAAGAGAGAATTAAAATCAAGAGTAGCTCACGGGATATTACAAGTGAGTGAGAGAATTGAGAGTGAAAAGTGAATCTGGAACTGTTCCTGTGAAATTGTTGAAGCTCAAATCCCTGGCACATGAAATTACCATATACACTCATTATATGTGTAACCATATAGATTAATCTCATGGCCAAAATTTCTCGAACTAAAGTATAAACCCCTTACACATTGTGATCTCAAGACATTGATACTTACAGGAATGACAAACGCTGCAATGCACTCAAATATGAAGGTATAGGACCAGAAATATTATTGTTTCTTAGAACTCTGCAAAAAAACAAGAAACAAAAAAAATGCATCATTTATGTTTGAACTTGGCAATCAATAGCTAAGAATGCAGAACCATAAGCTGTGTTCATGTCCTTACAAGGTAAATAGAGAAGTCATATTTCTGAGGAAGTTTAGTGACGTGCTCCCATTAGATAGTTCACTTATTCTCCTAAAAAAGATTAGCTTATGCATAAAGAATTTATAAACAGAACAAATATAATCAGATGAACAACTAAAGAATGACTGCACTTACAAGTCAGTTAAAGAGACTAGATTGGAAAATGATTGTGGTATTGGACCCTGGAATGAATTTCCTTGAAGCCTCCTGAAAACACATTGTTTATATCTTTAATTATATCTTTATAACCACACTATTTGTTTATATTTATGCCAATGAAATATAGGAGGACAGCAACATCATGAATAAATATTATATACAAATAGTCATCTCTGTCTCACAGTGTAACAAGTTTTGACCAATTTCCAATGAAATCAGGTATCTGCCCGGTGAATGCACTGTCAAAAGCCCACCTGAAATCACAACAATGTAATTCTTATGCATAAGTGTGAAGAAACTAATGGTGAAGATATTTTTAAATTTATTTTCATACACTCTCTCCAAGCTCTGTAGACGAGCAAATGTTTCCGGGATTGGACCACTGACTCCAGCAGCGTCAACGTATCTAGCATGATAAGACAGATATTATTAATATAAAGTTTCCATCCACCAAAAGAAGACCGTGCTCCTAACAAGAGAATAGATCAAGATCAACAAGGGAAAGCTAAGACTTCAGATTAGAGTTGTTACAGAGAGATTCCATGACCACAATTATTTAAAATACATCAACTTGTAAACAACATGCATTAGATTTACATATTCTATTGAACTATGCAACTACTGCAAAAAGCTTCATGTCTTACAGCTGTGTCAACTTTGTCAGGTTGCCTAGCTCAGGTGGTAAAGATCCAGAGAAGTTGTTTATGCTAAGCCCCCTGCACATAAAATAATACATAAATAGCAGCAAACGATTTAACATCCAATATATGAAACTCTTAAGGCAGGGAGAGTGCGCTGTTAAAGTTTATTTATGAAAACCAAAGGACTCACAATGATCTCAAATCAGTCAATCTTCCAAGTTCTTTTGGAATTTCCCCTGATAAAGAATTCACTCCAAAGCTCCTAATAACATAAAATCACAGAACAAAGTCCTCATATTTTTTTTCAAGCAAACAAAGTTGGAGGTGAATCTGATTATACTGAACATATAGAAAGTAGGGAAGCAAGAAAGAAGATAACAGCATACAGGTACATCATGCGAGTAAGACGTCCAACTGATGCAGAGAGCGGACCCGTAAAATAATTTCGACCCATATTTCTGAAATACACAAGGGGAAAAGTTCATACTTTCAATACTTGCACATTTCAGGAAATCACAGGTCAAAAAACATGCAGATATTTCTAAAGCCAAATCAAACATACAGGTCCGTTAGATAAGTTAAATTCCAAAGTTCGTCCGGAATCGGACCAGAAAGATCTGCTTGGAAAACTTTCCTGAAAAACAGTAAAGATTGGACACAATTTGGGGATTGTTAGCGCAAGATGGATCACAGCTTTGAAGATAAAAATCTGTCTATTTGAAACGTAGATTTTCTTGTTTGATCGCTTACAGAGATCTGATACGGCAAGTAGTACCATTATCGATGTCACAATTACATTTAATTCCAATATCTGGAGCTGGACCTGGAGTAACGGCAATACCGCTACATACTTCTCCGCTAATGTTCCATTGATCAGAGGCCACAAGCCCCCATCGTGCAAACATGGTGTTGATAGCACTTGCTGTATATCAAATTAAATACAACATGACATAAAAATTTCCACGTATAGAACTTCATAGCTTATCAAAAGCAACCTTAAGAAATACACTGATTCTGCAATTTTCTGTAAAAACAAAGAGATTTCCAGCTCAGAACGAAATCATTAAAGCTACCTAGCTACTATAAGATGATTACCTAGTATTATAAATTATAATCCAGCTATTCATTTACTAACAGGAAATCAATAGCAGCAACAAGTGAAGTTAATAAGACAAAATCGATCGGCAATTTTGGTTCCGAATCACTAAACTAACTAAAGTACGAAATTCAGTTCAAAACAGAAAACAAGTTAGGCACCATCAACAGGATGGGTTGTGGCATTCGTAGTCCCATTCTGCGCTCGCGCAACATCCGCCGCAAATCCAACAGCTAACAAAAACCACCAGACGAGCAAGTGCCGCCGCGAGTCGAGGCACCGTTCCTCCGCCATAGTAATACTCTTGAATGGAAATGGAATGGAAGGAACTCCTGTAGGACGAATCTATGAACTTGGAGGCAGAGCAAGCGAGCTGGGCTTCAAAAATGGCTGCGAATTGCACTGAATTTTTGCCACATTGGTGCTGTCGTGGGAATCAATATTATAATATACATATATTTAAATGGGAAATATCTTTGAAAACAGTTTGAGTTGAATTTTCGTCATGATTATTCGTCCACTGAGCCTGGGGTGGTTAAAAATTAATGCTAATTATAATCTAAACACATAATTGTAACGTGTCCGGAAGCTGACAGCCCTACACTTAAGCCATGCCCGCGCTGAGGTCAGACCACTCGTCCCCTGTGCGCAACACGCCCAAGATATATCATACAATATAGAAGAATTATGCGGAATCGGCCGTAGAGGACAGGAGCTCGTACACATAGGACGGACTATGGCCAAGAACCAGGGGCAAGAATGTCAACCTGCGACAAACTCCCCTACTTCAAGTGGCAAAAGCCTTCGTGCGACGCTATTTGAGTGCACTGATGTTATTTCTTGCACCCTCGCTACCAATCTTTTTCCTGCATACCATTCTTTTGGTGCTCACCAACAGCCAGCGAGGTCTTTTGCCATAATCCACATGCGATCCAAATTCCGCTGCGCATCTCCACACACCATCCGGAACATCCGTTGTTGTGGCTTATGCGATTTTCGCCCTATGATCGTCCTTAACTTAGTTTTTCCCTCACGAACAAAGCTCGGCCCTCTTGGCCCTTTCAGCAACGTCAAGCATACTCCCCTTCCTTGGGATATCCAATTACCTTAGGACATGTTCTTCCTTGACGTGCTCGGCAACGTCGAACTGTCCAATTACCTTAGGACATGATCATCCTGATCATCCTTGACGTGTCCACCGACATGCTCCTTGACTCGAGACATGCCACTTTGTCGCTCCGTTCGCCACCAGCGTCAAGGTCTACTCTGATACCATATGTAACGTGTTCGAAAGCTGACACGTCCGGCGCCTAGGCCACGACCACGCTGAGACCCAGACCCCGCCGTCCCATGTGCGCTGTGCGCAACATGCCCGGGATATAGCATACAGTATAGGAGAATCATACGGAACACGTACTTGCATCAAGATATGGGTCATTAGTCGACCGTACAGGACAGGAGCTTGCACACATAGGACAGACTATGGCCGAGAACCCGGGCAGGAATGCCAACTAGTCACGTAATAGTCCCTATAATTTAATTTTAAGCAGTATATGTATAATACTTTATGATATAATTTTATACTAATACATAAATATATAAATTATATGTTCTCTATTTCAAATGGGTTTTTGGAGATTTTATAATAAATTAAAAAATAATATTTTTTTCGTTTCATATCTATTCATTCATTTGCTTTTTCCAAGAAGTTTTAAAAATATTAGTATTATATTGAGATATAGTATAAATAAAAAAAATAACTAAATTAATCCTATTAGTATTATATCATATAAACGTAAAAGTAGATAGTACAATTATTTTTAAAAAATAAAAAAATAGATAGATTGTTAAAAGACGAGCAAATGGTATTTTATTTATCACTAGAATGGTGCAAGAGGTATTGACCGTTTTATATTTTGATTTTATAGTTAAATTAATTGTATACGTAATGGTATTTTTGTAATTTAAATAAAAGTTAAATGATTTTTTAGTATTAATGTATAATTATTTTTTGTAAAATATAAAAGAGATACTTGAAATAAAACGGACGAAAATAGTATAAATAATATTTTAAAATGAGAGAGTATAAATAGTCACTAAATTAAATTAGAGTAGTATTGTATACTTACAAACACCTCATCATGTAATCATATTACCTTAAATTATGTACAGAGTTGGAAGTTTATAAGTTAGCACCATATAAACATACTTTTTATGTGATAGAGCTCAATTGTATGTACTTGATGAATTATTGTTAGATATATTTTTAAAATTTATAAATTAGATTTATATTTATACTATATTAACTATTACATAAACTATTGTTATATATTGTTTATTTATTTTTGTCAATCAGTTGGTACATAATAAAAAAGTTTTGAGCAGATTCACTTGTAAAAAATTTAAAATTTAATTAAATTAATTTATCTTTGTTAAATATGTTTAAGATAAATAAATTTATTAAAAATATATATATTAATTTTTATTGAACAAACGAAAAAGAAAAAAAAAGGTAAAGATAGTTAAATGAATACACTCTTAAAAATGCTAAAATAAATTAATTTAATTTAGATATATCAAATATGGCGACCTGCTCAACATTTTAATTAGTCAACAACTGATCCCACGCACTTAATTAAATACAGTTAATCGAAAATTATGAGCTCATTTATAAATAATAAATGATAATAATAATAATAATAAAATACTAATAACCAGCCATGATATGCTTGCGTCACGTAACGCCTAACTTGTCTTAAATTTCTTATTATTATTATTATTATTATTGAATTTCATGTGGGAAAGAGGGGCAACTTGTTCTGCTCACGTGATCAATTATTTGGTCAGTTGAATCAAGAGCGGTAAAATAATTTTTCCTTCTACATTTATTATATATATATATTGCAATAACGTGGCAATCACAGCCCTATTCGAAAGTATGCACATAAATCTCCGGCTGATCTAATACCTTTTTACAATATTTATTTGTATAAAACTTGTGTAATTTAAGTTTTTATCTAAAATCAAATATTAATATCGAACGATATTTTGTACAAACTTTATACTAATATAAAGAATTTCACGCAATAAATAAAATATATAATATTTTATGCATTTTTACTAAAATAAAAGAGAATGTTATATAATTTAACTTTTTATTTTTATTTTTAATTCAAAATACCACAATTATTTTACCAACAAAAACTAAGCATAAAATAAACAAACAATATGACTATGATTATTTTGTATTTACTGTATAATTTTAGGTGTTATGTTATATTTGTATGTGAAATGTGAAATGATGAAGGTATTATAGGAAAGAATATTTTGTGTGTTTTCATTCATTTTTACTATTATGCATATATAATATATATTTAATAATATTTTTTTAATTATGTAAAATATAAATATTAAACAACACATTCTATTTGTTCTTTAAAATATACTCTTTTCATGGGGAAAAATTGTACCCTCATCTATTAAATAGGAATATATATTTTTTATTTGTCTATAAAAAGTTTTTATTTATAATAAATAATTATTACATATTATTTAATTTATACCATTCAATATTATATTTATTTACAAATATGTCAACTATTTATACATTCAATTTATATTAAAAAAAAAAAAAAAACTCACCTCATTAACTTACTCATTTACTTTCAAAATATTTATATATAAGTTTAGGAACAAAAAAAATATAATACTCTTTCCGTTGTTCGTTTCGAAGGGTCATATTTATATTTTGTATCATTGTACTTAACCTTAAAAATTTTTATATTTATATATATATTTTACAATGTCTTTCTATTAATATTATAATAAACTAATTGAAGTGTTTTTGCAATTTTTTCTTAATTTGTACTATGTTTTGATATAATAATTAATATTCAAATATCAACACACAAAAAATAAATAAACTCTTATAACCGGACGAAGATAGTATAATTTTAATGAGCTGAGAGACCATTTGTTTGTGTAATAGGTTATTTCTGGGCCATTATTGTGCATGCTGATTAACCTAGCAAGCACATTGTAATGTTACGCACTAACATATAGTTATTGTTGAAATATGTGTTGGTAGAAATATATATTATACATTATATTATATTAAGATGTGATATATTAGTTGAATATTATATATTGTGTAGTATTAAGATGTGATATGTACTTAAATCAAAGATAATATTTAATTTGTAAAGTATTGCCATATATTTTTAGTTTATACGTTACATTGTAAATTATTAACATAAATATTGCTAATATATACTTCTTCCTCTCATATTTATATACCAATTTACTTTTTGCACGGATTCTTAGAAATATTAATATTATATTGAGATAAAATAGAATGAGTATTATATTTTTTTTGTTTCTAAAGGTAATGGCATTTGTGTAAGTTATTATAAATTAGAATGATATTTGTAATGTTACGTAGATAGTACAATTATTAAAAAAAGAAATGAATACTTTGTTATGAGATCAGTCAAAATAAAAAAAATAGTAGATATATTATTAAGAGACGAAGGGAGTATGATATAGTATGTGTTGGGAATGAGAGTGTAGCCTAATGACGAAACCCTTAACCTCTTGACCTTTAGGTCGGGGGTTTGATTCAATAATATATATTGTGTGAATTATTATCATGAATTGTAATAGAAACATAAAATTTGTACACTCGAGTTTTTGGATGAAGTAAAAAAAAAAATAAATAAATAAAAATGAACAAACCCCATCATATTGATGAGGACTTAGTTTAAATGTATTTAATTGAAAATTAAAAACAAAATGGTTTCGGGTAAAATTATTTTTAAAAAGAATTGGGCTTAGTCAATAAAATCAGTTGAGCCCAATAATATTATTTGTATTCTTCGTATCTATTAATGGGCTGGCCTGATTTCAAGAAATAAAACTGAGGAGAACGTTTAGAATTGTTTACTAAAAAGGTAACAAGTTTTTAATTCCATTAATTAAGGGGATGTTTCTTTTAATCCAAACTCTAAATTTTTATTGTTTGGACTTTGTATTTATCGAAAAAATATTTTTTTTTCTCTTACAAAATATTTCATCATATATTATTTTAATACCAAACTAAAATCTAATTTTTTTTTTCAAACATGTCTAAAGAAACATACCCTAAATTAACTATACGTGTGTGTGTATATACCATTAAAACATATTTTCACTGATGTATTTAAATCGTAAAAAATGAATTTAGATAATATTGAAATGATTAAAAATTAAAACTTATTATTTTTAGATTTATTAAAATTTAAAAAAAAAATAGATTTGAAAAGGTTTTGGAATTCCAAGCCCTTTTTAAAATACTCACTATGTCCCAATACATGTTTACCATTTTTATCTGTTCCAAAACAACAGTGTCATTTTCATAAATAATCATATCACTATAAAATTACCCTTACTTTTTCATCATTATTATACAATTGTCACTATTTTTTACACTAATACACTCACAGGGGCAAAAAAATCTTTTACTCGTACTTTTTACCAACTGCCAATATAATATCAATATTTCTTAAATTTTTTTTTTTTCAAACACAACTCAATTATAATTTTGGGAATGAGGGAGTATACAATTGACTTTTGTATATATATATATATATAATATTGAAAATCACAACTATTACTCTTTTAGGTTGTTTTGTACCGAGAAAATTATAGAGAAAATGAATTGAGTAAAAAATAATAATTAATTATTTTATTTGGTAAAATTGAGAACTTTGTTGACAAACTTAATAAAAGGATTTTTATAAATATGAAATAATATAATTTAAAATATATATATAAAAATTAAATAGTAAAAAAATAAAATAAAAAATATATACTATAATATTCATTTCTCTATATTTGAAAGAAAAAAATGAAAACATAAAAATTAAAATAATTTATTTTTCAAAATTTATTTCTTTAATTCAAACAAATAAAAAAAATTGAAATATTTTTATGTTCCTCTATCAATTTTCCGTACCAAACACACATTTAATACATATTGAATAAATAACAAATTCAATAGCTCCTAAATCATATGTAAGACAAGTAATTTCATATTTAAATAAAGTTTTACAAGATAAGTTCAATCGAAAAGATGTCGACAAAATTTAACCATCCTACCACACCAACTCGGATTCACTTTGTATATATGAAATCTATCACAAGTTTATTTTATTTTATTTTATTTTATATTTTTCATTTCTCTGTTAAAGTAAATGACCTTAAATATTTTATAATTGTTTTATTTAATTTTTAAAGTTATAAATACGAATAAAATGGTGTGGCACATGGTCTAAATAGGGCATTAAATTAAATAGGATAGTTAATAGTAGAATGAATGTAATGAAAGTAGGCCCACTAGATGACCAATCCCATGTGAAAAAATGAAGCAATGATTTGGGGCAATGGGACAACTGTTTTTCTTTTTCAATTTTATAAGGAATTATATATGGGGTTTATTGGAGCTTGATTTATTTATTTATTTTGTACGTGTGAATATAGAGAATTGTATTATTAATATAAAAAATAATATTTTATATTAAATTATTAATTTATATATATATATAAATAATTAAATTATATTTCTAATATTTTTCACATAAGTTCTTCTATTTTTATCTCCCTCAAATATATAAGTACTTTGATCAACATTTATAATTTTTTACTTTTTATAAAATTAATTTATTTTGATCATAAATTTATAAAATATTTATTGTATATATTGAAATATAAAATTTAAAATATTTAAATATATATATTCTAAAACTTTTTATTATATATATTAACTATTATTTTAAAGATATCAACAATATTATTTAAATTAAAAAATGAATGAAATAATATTATAATTTGTTATCATTAATTTATTAAATTTTATTTCCTTAAATATCGTACCACTAATCAACGTGTCAATTATTTCCAGGCGGAAGAAGGTATTAATTATATTTCTATGTATTTATGAATTGATTTATTGGAAGGGTATATAAATTTTTTGGCATTGTGAAATTAATAGCGAAGAAAGTGACCCTTACCATTTTAAACAAGTTAAAAATTTGTTATTACATCCTAAAATTGGTATAATTTTAACTTCCTACATTAATGTCTCCAACACTCACCAAATCAATGCCACAATTAATTAAATAGAATAGTATAGAGTAGAGCTAACTATAATGAAAGAATCAAGCTAGTTATTCTTCGCCTTATTTAAAAATATAAATTATATAACACTCCCTTATATTTTAATTAAAATGTATAAATATTTTATATTTTATTTATTGTGTGAAATTCCATTATGTTCATATAAAATTTGTGCGAAATATTTTTTTTTCAAAATTGATATTTGATTCTAAATAAAGTGTAAATTACGCAAATTTTATACAAATAAAAAATGTAAAATATCTTAAATATTTTTTTAATAAAATAAATAAATAAATAATTGATCAATTATTTATTTTTAATTTTTTTTTAAAAATCAAATAATAATTTATTTTCAAAAAATTATAAAATAAAAAATTAATCAATTATTTTTTATTTATTTTATTCAAAAAACTATTTAACATATTTTATGTCTTTTATTTATATAAAATTTGTGCAATTTAGATCTTTATTTAAACTCAAACATCAGTTTTAGACAAATAGGGTGTTTCGTGAAAATTTTGCAATGACACGACGAGATTTTACGCAATAAATAGAATATATGATTTTTTGTGTATTTTTATTTAAAAATATAAGGGGATGTTATATAATTTACACTATTGAAAGAGACAAAATAAAATTAAAAAAAAAAAAAAAAACATACAATATATTTGAGTTCAGTACAAGAATTAAGAAAAATTAATACACTACTCACATTCATTATTTTTATATTTCATACATAATTCCTTATAACTCATGTAAATTAAATTATTTTCAATAATCTGGAAACAAACATATATATAATTAGTAAATAATTAAGACTTTATTAATAAAAATAATTATCACCGTGTCCAATATTTAACTGTAAATAAAAAAAATTAAAAAAAAAAAAACTGAGATTTTAAATGAAAAACAATTACCCCTAAATCACACCCGTAATCACCCTAATTAATTAAATTATTTAATTAATCATCTTCCATTCAGAGCTCCCGAGCATCTACAGAAGAACTCAGCCATGGCGGTATATATATATACACACAGCGTGGCGTGGGGTGGGGTGGTGTGGGGGTGCATGTGAGGCTGAGGGTAATAGAAACTTTATGATCCCTCATCTGCTATTTTATTATATTGTGGATTGATGACACGACGCCGCCATGGCCCTACAGCTACTCCAATTACAAAACTCCTTCTTCTTCAACTCCAGATCAAAAGCAGCAAGACCTAAACGACGTCGTATCATTATTGCTAGAATTAGACACAGACATAAACATACAGCGCTGTCCAGCCACAAAGCACAATCCAGAAAGCGAGCTTCACTACCCTCTCCAATGGCGGACATGATGACGATGCAGCAGCAGCTCATGATCAACATCCGACAAACCACCCACCCCATCACAAACATTAACAACGAGTCTTATTACCATTGTTGCTGTAATAATCTCCATCCTCCGGTCTGCAAGCCGACCTGGAAACTCTACGAGAATCCATTCTACGCCGCCTCCAATCAGAAGCCGCCGCTCCAACCCCTCGGCGGCGCCGCCGACCGGAAAATCCACCGCCTCCATCTCCCCGTGTCGGCGAGGAAGCTGGCGGCGTCGTTTTGGGACCTCGATTTCATCAAGCCGCCGGATATGCTGTCGGAATCGGACAAAGCTAGGGCACAGATTCTGGAACTTAAGAACATTCTAGAAACCGAGCGCAAGGCCAGGCGGAAAATCGAAGGTTTGAATAAAAAGCTCGCGACGGAATTAATGGAGGAGAGGAAATCGCGGAAAGCTCTGGAGAAGCGCTGTGAAGATCTGGCGAACAAAATCTCTTCTGACAAACTCGAAATCTCTCGAATGAGGCGCGAATTCGAGGAGGAAAGAAAAATGCTCCGCACGGCTGAGGTAATCCGCGAGGAACGTGTCCAGATGAAGCTCGCCGAGGCGAAGATCCTCCTGGAGGAGAAATTCTCCGAAATCGACATCTCCGGAGATGTCGGGAGCCGCCGGCGGCCGGAATCCATGGCCGATCGTTCGGACATTGTTGACGGCGGCGGCGGTTATCGTCAGACATCAATGTTGCGGGGGAAATTGAGGTTAGTGTTGGGAGAGAAGAAGAAGACGGCGGCGACGGAGAATCCGCACATTAGGCGCGGAATTAAAGGATTTGTGGAGTTTCCGAAGGTTGTAAAAGCGATTGGTTGCCGGCGGAAGGACAGTTTGGGGAGCAAATTGGAGTGTCCGAGAGCTCAGTTGAAGATACTGCTCAAGCGCAATGGAACTGTGCCAATTAAGGATTTTATTATTACAAAATAATGTAATGTTAATAATTTGGGTTATGTCTACGCAATTTCTTCAATTCATTATTATTTATTGTGATGAAATGGAATCCGCGTCTCCTGCAAATTAGGCTATCGCCACAAGAGCGGAGTGAATTTAAACTTATAATTTAATGGTCACACGTCCAACATTTACAACACCAAACCATTTGTTACCGACATTATTAATTTGGCTTTTCATTGTGGCAGTCTTGAATAGGCTTTTTTTTTTTTTTTTTTTACAATTTTACATGGTGCCTCTTTTTCTAAACAAACCTATTTTTTTTTTGTTTTTTATAAAGTCCAGCGACAAATATTGATTTTCTTTTTTTTTATGTCACATAAACATGATTTTTTTAATAAATTTATTTATTTTAAATATAAATCAATTTAATAAAATTTTTAACATTTAACATACAATTCATTAAAAAAAAATTATTTTTACTTCTTTTTCTCAATATTATTTTATAAATTTTTATTAATTAATAAAAATATTATTATTTTCAATTTACTGTAAAGATATACTTATAATATAGATATACTTTGATAATATAGATATACATGAAATAAAATATTCACTTTGTCCTTCAATAAGTATTTATTTATTTTTTATACAAGTTTAAGGTATATTAGTATTAATGAAGTAGTAAAAAATAGAGTAGAAATGACCAAAATAACTTTATATGATATAAAAGTAATGACATATATATAATATATTATAAATTATAAGGATATTTATAATATTATATAAATAGTATAGTTACTAAAAATAAAATAAATATTTTGTTATTAAACAGATTAAAATTAAAATTAATAATAATATTTTTTTATAGGAAGAAAAAAGTATAAATAAATAGTGTCAAATTTTAAAAATTGTGTATATGTAAAATGAGTGTAATTTGCAACTAATTAAGATCCGTGTGTAATTGCATATATTAACGTATATATGCAACATTTGGGATGTGTTCTTTGGATTTGAGTTTTGGGTTTGATAATACTAAAAAAATGTTACTTGAAATAATATTTAATGAGTTAGTAATAGTTATTTAATATAGTATTTTGAACATAAAATTAAAATTTTATAATGTAATAAATAAGAAAATAAATATTTAATTTAACATATATGGAAAGTAAGATTGATGAATAGAATGGGACACCTAAATGAAATATAGCCAAGAGACATTTTGTTTTTATTTTATTTTTATTTTGTAAATAATATTTTAATATGACAAAAATATTAACAATTACAAATCTGATTAAAATACAGTATAATATAAGATGTATTGATTTTCTAAATTAAATAACAATTAAATGAAATATTTTGTAATAGAATATAATTTAGTTTTGTAAAAGAAAAACATAAAATCTAAAATTAAAAAAAAAAATAAATAAAAAATAAAAAAATTCTATAATATTTTGTCTTGTGTTTTATGTGAAATTGGGGTTTTCGGGTTTTTGAGGATCTATAAATGTTCTATATATGATTCGACTATATGTTAAGTTGATTATTTATAACTGAACCAGGTCCGACAAATATGTTTCTCGCATACTTCATTTTTTTTTTTTTTTTAATTTTATGAAAGTTCAGCATTATTCAACGTAATTTTTTTTTATTTTATATAAAATAAGAAAAATTTAATCAAGACTGAACAAACAAATCCTTCGTTTACACAGATTTATTTTTTCAATTTTGAAAACAAAGATGAGATTAATAAAAATTTAGTATTTGATATGATATTTTTAAAAAAATAATATGTATTTGATGAATGTTTAAAAAAAAAAAAGAAAAAATATATTATTGAAAAATAGTACCAAAAATTGAAAAAATTATTATAATTATTTTTATTAATATTTGTATTAATTACTTACTAATTATACTTTACCTAAATTCTTATATCTATAATAATAGTCTCGTGTTATCTAAGACGAAGGGAGTATTATACTTCTCTGTCCCATAACTAGCTATTTATTTGTTTTTTGCACGGAGTTTTAAAAATATTAGTACTCATTCCGTCCCAAAAGTATAGTCTTATTATATTGGATACGAGATTTAAGAAATATTGATATTATATTGGTAGTTGGTAAAAAGTAATGTTAAATGACTTTTTTTTGCCTTTGTGAGTATATTATTATAAAAATAGTGGCAATTATATAATAATAATGAAAAAATATGGATAGTTTTATGGTAATATAGTTATTTATGGAAATGAGACTATTGTTTTATGATAGACAAAAATGGTAAACAAGACTATTGTATTGAGACGGAGGAAGTATTATATTGAGATTTAGTAGCAATAAAGTAAAAATTACTAAAATATCATTATTAGTATTGTGTGATATAAATGTTATAGCATTTGTATAATATATTGTAAGTTGTAAGGGTATTTATAATGTTAAGTAGATAGCACAGTTACTAAAAAAAAATAAATATTTTGTTATAGAACTTAATAAAATAAAAAAAATAATAATTTATTATGAGACGATGTATATAAGTTAGAACCTTGTTTTTTTATATATATTTTTTGATTTATTGTATTAATTCGATCAAATCAAAAAAAAAATAAAAATCGTCACAATATTTTTATTTTTATTTTTGTAAAAAATAAACACAAATTTATATTAATAACCAAAAAAAAAAGATGTGCGTAATTAGGGTGAAGATTGGACAGCGTGGGGTGAGGAAACAAACAAAGGAATTAAAAGCGACGACGGACACAGACGGACGGTCCCCACCAACCCGCCCGCCGTTTGCATTTCCCAATGCGCCACCCAAACGCCGTCATCGCCTACAAACCGACGGCGTTGACGGATACCGTCAAATCACTACAACCAAAAAGTCAGATAGATAGATAGATAGGGCTTATTACTGCTAGGGTTAGCTTAAGGAGGGTATATTTGTACTTTCCTCCTTGTAATAATCTTACCTAAACCTACCCCTACGCATCTACTCTCTGCCTCACCCCGTTGACTAACTTGGTTGGGGATTTTATTGAAATCTTATTACTACACGAGAATTTATTGAGATAAATATAATTAGTAGATAATTAAAAATATATTAATAAAAATAATTAATTTATAATATGAATTATTGTAAATTTAAATTAAAATAACTAATTAGTTTAATTAAAATTTTAAAAAAAATTAAAATAGATAATCATTTAAAAAAAAAATGACATAAAATATGGAATGAATAAAAACGACACAAAGATATAGTAAGTGGGACGAAATGAATATTATTTTTAAAAAAAATCGGATTAAATTTTTATTTTTTATTATTTATATTGTACTATTAAAATTTAATTTTATTTCAAAATATCATATAAAAACTATTTATATCACGTTATATCATTGTTCAAAACTCAAACTCAATAACCAAATACACCCTATTACCTCCATTTCTTGCTTGTGTTTTTTGTGGTTACTTTTTATTTTCTTATTTAAATATTTTTTAAATAACATATTTTACAATAATAGAAAATAATAAAGTAAAATTAAAACCAATCACACCCTACATTCATTGTTTGTTTTACTTTTGTCACAATACAATATATATATATATATATTATCTTTATCATTATTAAACAATTTCATAAATTTTAATTAAAATATAAAAGATATATATATGAAATATTTTAAATTAAACAAAATAATAATAAAAAAACTAAAAAACTAAAATATTTCTAACAATTAAACTCAATTCTATATTATATATCCGTGGATTTACAAGCTAATACTTCCTCATTTTAGTAATATGCATTATTTTTTAAGAAATTTAATAAATATTATACTTCTTCCGTCCCAATGCAAGGTTGTCGTTTATTTTTTGCACGTAGATTTTTAAATATTAATATTATAATGGGTTGTAGTGAAAAATACGAAAATACTCCTATTAGTATTGTGTAATATAAAAGTAATTATATTTGTGTAATATAGTGTAATTTTGAAGGGTATTTATTATGTTAAGTAGGTAATATAATTACTAAATTAGGAAATGATAACTTTGTTTTAGGACGAACGAAAATGAAAAATGACAATTTTTCAATGGGACGGAAAGAGTACTTTGCATTTGAACAAGTAAAAGTAATAAAATATATTTCCTCCGTCTCTTAACAATCTATCAATTTTTCTATTTTGGTCCGTCACATAACAAAGTATTATTCGTTTCCTTTTTTCGTAATTGTACTATCTACTAACATTACAAATACTCTTTTAATTTACAATATACTACATAAATGTCATTACCTTTATATCATACAATACTAATATGGTTAATATAGTCTTTTTACCTTTATTTTTATTTTATCCTAATATAATACTAATATTTATAAAACTCCGTGTAAAAAGCAAATGGATAGATCGATTGGGGACGGAGGGAGTAATATTATATAATGTGAGTATGTTGATTATCACTGTACAAGTTTTATCAAAAGGATAAGAAGTGTTGCACGTTGGATTGTTTACTTAAAAGTATTACTTTTTTATTTTAATAAAAATTATTATATATTAATATTAAAATATTTTTAAATTTTACCTAAATTACAAATATATCATTATAAATATAATTAATTTATATATAAAGTTCAATGACAAAAATATCAAAATTTTTTACACAATTTAATTAACCAATAAAATATTACTCCTTATTTCCCAAAATAGGGACATTTGAGATTAACATGAGAATTGAAAAATAATATTTTCTCTGTTCCCGTGCAAGATTGTCGTTTACTTTTTGCATGTAAATTTTTTAATATTGGTATTATAATAAGTTGTAGTAAAAAGGACAAAAATGCCCCTATTAGTACTGTGTAATATAAAAGTAATGATATTTGTGTAACATAATGTAAGTTGAAATGATATTTATTGTGTTATGTAGGTAGTACAATTACTAATAGGAGATGATAACCTTGTTTTGAGATGGACGAAAATGGATAATGACAACCTTTAAATGGGACGGAGGAGTAGTATTATATTGATAGTGTGTGTAAAAGTAATTTTAAAATACCAAAATGCTCCTACTGTATGTAATTATTGGGAAAAAATTGAAATAATTTTGTAAAAAGTGAGAAATTTGTTAGAAAAAAAAAATGAGATTATTGTTTTAAGACGAACGAAAATGACGATATTGAACTGTTATTTTCAGACGGAATGAATATTATTTTTTAATTCCACTAAACGACAAATGACTGTTTTGAAGTGGGGTGTATGAAATATATTTTATTATTATTACTCCCTCCGTCCCAGAACTATAGTTTGGATTGTGTTTGACATGAGATTTAAGAAATATTGATATTATATTGATAGTAGGTAAAAAGTACTTTTAAAAGACTTTTTTGCCCTTGTGAGTGTATTAGTGTAAAAAATAGTGATAATTGTGTAATAATAATGAAAAAATAAGGATAGTTTTATAATGATATGATTATTTATGGAAACGAAATTATTGTTTTAGGACAAATAAAAATAATAAATATGACTATTGTATTGGGACGGGAGAAGCAGTATTTTAAAAATACTGTTCGTTTATAGTATATGCATTTTGAATGATTAACGTGTGTATATATTTACATATGTAGATTGTACTTAATTTTATTGCTGTCAGTGGTTGTGGTTGGGTATTTATGGTGAAAGTGAAGTACACCCATAAAAATCAAATTTAAAATTAGTGACTTAGTTTCGATTTCAAATTTATTAAGGGTGTGTTTGTTTGAAGGATTTTGGAGGATTTCTACTATTCATCCAATTTTTTCTCCCAAAAACATCAAATCAAACACCTATTTTTCATTTTTTATATTATACTAAAAATCAATTTTACATTCAAAACATCACATCAAACCCTATTTATATCACATCATACAACTATTCAAATTCAAAATTTCTACTATTCAAATCTCAATCCAAAATCCAAACCCCCAAACAAACACACCCTTAGAGTAAACTTTTTTTTTTTTTTTAATATTTTGGATTTAAATTATCAGTGAATAAATATAAATATTATGGCTTTGTTTATTAAAAGTCGAGCCGACAAAAATTGATCCGATATGATAATTCGATACGAAATAATTGGATTTAAGTCAAATATTTTAATCCGTTTATGTATACCAGTCGACACGAACCCGATACGATAATAAACGGGTTGGGTTAAAGTTGGGGCTCTCAACTTGAACCCGACACGACAACCCGATTATAATATATTAATATTGATAAATATATTTATTATATATATAAAATAATCATAATTTAATAATTTTTTTCATAAATTAATTTAAATTAAGTTCAATTTTAAATAATCCAACCTAATTTACGCTCAAACTAATAAAAATTAATATAACACGACAAAAAATAATTTAATTTGAATCAAGAATTTCGACTTAATTATGTATATGGGTCAACACGAGTCAATCCGAACCTGACACGATAATAAACGGGTCAACACGAATCCGACACGATAATAAACGAATCGAATTATGATTGAATAATTTAGCCCATTTAAAGTATTCATCACGACACAAATCGACCCATTGCTATTTCTAATTAATTTTATTATAAAATTTCTATTGTACTGTTGAAATCTTTTTCCCCTTAAAATGTATCACACTGAATATTAAAAAATACGTCAAAAAAAATATTTAGTCAAAATATCTAACCGAATATCTAGGGTGTGTTTGTCTGGGGTTTGGATTGGATTTACACTATTCATCCAATTTTTTTCTCCCAAAAAACATGAAATCAAACACTTATTTTTCATTTTTTATATTATACTAAAAATCAATTTTACATTCAAAATATCCCATCAACACCTATTTATATCAAATCATACAACTATTCAAATTCAAAAAAAAAAAAAAAAAAAAAAGAAAACAATTATATTTTAATTTTAGATAAATTCTTTATTCAAAATTTTACAATATCTTGATAATAAAAACAACATTAATAAATTGATTTTGCATATAACTCTATGAGGATTTAATCATTTACATGCATCATTTCAATTAATATATAAATGAATTATACAATAGATTTCATGCAGAGTATTTTATGTATTCAAATTAAAATAAAAGGTATATAAATATATTTATCTCATATACATTATAATTACATTTCTTGGAATATATTAGATCAAAACTTGGTTTTTTCAACAAAAATCTTGAATATATATTTTTTAAAAAATTAATATATTACTCACATTTTTTTATTTTTATATTATCCGTTCAATTTTTCATATCTCACATAAAATAATAAAAAATAAAAAATTAAAACACAAACAAACACATCTCAAAATTTTTGTAGTTCACTGCATTTTTGCATTTCTTTTGAGTGTATTTATTTGTTTATTTGAAATATGAATTTTATATTTTGATATGGTTGGTATTCTATGCAATACATCCATATTGGGTGTTTATTTATTCTTACATAATTTTTGTCAAATTTTTAGAGTTATATTTTTTTTTTTTTTTTTTTAAGATAGTGATATTTGAATATTAATTATTATATCAAAATATAGTACAAATCATGAAAAAATGACAAAAAGTAGTTTTATTAGTGTCTTGCAATACCACATAACATTTATAAAAGAAAATTATATATATATAAAAATATTTTTAATGCTAAATAAATAACAAAAAAAAGGTAAATGTAATTTTTAGAGACGGGCAAATAAAACATAAAACAAATGGATCAAATAAGCAAATGAATCTTTTTTCTAATTTGGAGAGTTTTTGGTTTATATTTGATTTTATATTTTTAATTTAAATAATAGTTAAATTGAGAACATGAAATATATGAGCTATTCTCTCTGTTCATTATTAAATTTTTCTTTTTTTTTTTATTTTATTATATTCAAATCAAATTTTTTTATTCATTTAATTTTTTAAAAATAATTTTTAAATAAATATCAAAATATTTATACTTTTAAAATTTCACATTATTTGTCAAGATTAAAAGAGACATTACATTATTTTATACTGCATATGTACAAAATAATTTATCTTAATTTACATTAAAAAAAAAACTAACTAACTAACAATTTACCATGGAACATGAAAAGTATTTTTTATAATATAAAAAATCCGTAATTATTGTTGTTAAGTTTATCATATAAATTTCAAAATTAGAAATTAATTAAGTTTTCTCTATTACTTTTATTAGAAGTAATTAATTTTTAGAAAAGATAATATTTCATATGTCATTCAATTATGTATTTATTTGATATTTTTTTTTAAAAAAAATAATAAATTTGAACGACAATTAAAATTAAAATTAAAATTAAAATTAAAAATAAAAATAAAAATAAAAATATATTTGAACGACGGGGTAATAGGACCGGAGGAATGTGAGTATATGATATGCTCTGGCGTGGAATGCTTAGGGAAGAAAGGATAGATGGGACTTGGAAACCAAACACAAGACAAGAGGACCTATGCGCATTTACCCCACGTATGACACGTGTCAAATGGGCAGGACCTCTGTGTCCATCTGTAAGAGTTAAGACCATTTATTACCGCAAAACAAATACCTATTGAGAGTGAAGAGAGATGACCCAAAGTCCAACCCAACCACCGAATGTTGGAAGCCGAGGAACCAAATTCGATTGATACATACGTTTGTTAGTACAAAACCAATAAACATAAACAAATTAGTTTGTGTCTATCCCCACCCCCACCCCCCATATCCCAAATGGCGGCACCGTAATCTCGAAACCCTCCCCACACCACCCCCCCACCCCACCCCCATCCCCATCCCCATCCCGAGTATAAATCACGCAGAGACGAACAAGGAAGACAAATCTAATTTACCCAATTCCTAGTCTTTGGGCTTTTCAGACGACGGTATGCGGAGGACTTTAAACCCAGGGAAGTCATCTTCTTCCTCTGCTAATTCTGCAGATTGTGATGTCGGCTTGGGGTTGCAGCTTCACCCCTCTCATTACTCCGATTCCCAATCCTGTAAGAAATTTCATAAACCACCCTTGCTGTCCGAATCCTTAACCTAATTCGACAAATTTTATTTTTTAAAAAAACGTAATGCTGATGTCAGCTGTCTTGCAGGCGCCGGCGCCGGCGCCGGCGGAGGAGTGCCGTTCTTCAGCTACTCAGGGAACCCAATTGACCACACAGAAAGGCTTTTCCGTACGTTAAATTAAGAGCAGTCTGGACATGTCTGAAATGTGGGTTTTAGGCTGTAATTGATGGTTGTTTAATTTCTTGCAGCGCCGGCGGCCATGGCGGTGTCGGGAAAAAATCTGTTTACAGCTACGCAGTGGGAAGAACTGGAGAGGCAACAAATGATTCACAAGTATATGATGGCTTCTGTTCCTGTTCCTGCTCACCTGCTCTTTGCAAATGGAAATACTGCCACGTCATCGTCGTCTTCTTCGTTGTCTCTTCCTTATTTTCATCGTCCTGTCGGGGTTCCACAATCCGGCGGTAGTACAGTGTCCGGCGGGTCAGGTCTGGACCTTAGGTTCTCGTCAAACGGGTCGGATCCGGAGCCGTGGAGGTGCAGAAGAACCGACGGGAAGAAATGGAGGTGCTCACGTGACGTGGCGCCTGATCAGAAGTACTGCGACCGCCATGCCCACAAGAGCCGCCCTCGTTCAAGAAAGCCTGTGGAACACCTCTCTGCAAACCCTAATGTCGCCGGCGCCGGCGCCGCCATTAATGTTCAAACAGAGCAATCCCAATCCAGGTCTGTAATAGTAAAACAATTTCACCATTTTTGGGGGGTTGATTTTACAATTTTCAATTATTAGTGGTGTTCTATGTAATTTTGTGGCGGCGTAGGTTCGTTAGAGGCGGTGCCGGGAATACCGCCGGCCGGCAACAATGGCAGCAGCTGATTCAGGCGCCGGCGGGATCGGAAGTGAGGAATAAAGATGAGGATCGGCGGAGGTTTGAAAATTCCGGTTTGCATCATCTCGCCGGCGACGATGGCTTCGACGGAATCGCCGGCGGCGGCAAGGGTTTGTTCTTGCCGCCGTCTCTGAGCAATAGATTCTCGCCGTCTTCGCTGACTCTGTCCATCTCCGGCGACGGCGACGCTGCCGGAGATTCGGGAATTGGGGCGGCGGCGGCGGTGATGAATGACGGCGACGGAGTTCTGAAAGTGCCGCCGTGGATGAACCCCTGGGTGCACCCCGGCGGACCGCTGGGGGAGGCGCTGCGGGTGGGGGGTAATGCTAACGTGACCAGGGGTGGGTCGAATTTGGCGTCACCGCACAGCAGTAAAAGCTCTTGCGAGGACGGCGGGTTCAATTTCATTGGATGACAGGCGGCGGTGTTTTGAATTGTATCTATTTTGGCTAAGACAAGATCGACGGCTGGGGTTGAGCCACGTGGTGTGTGCAGCCGTAGATGATGGTGTGTGGCCGCCATCGCTTTCTTCTGTTCAATTTGTCATGTGCACAAATTTAATGAAACACATATTCACAAGGCTTCTATTGCATCAATTATTTGCCCATATTCAATTCTATTTCTTTTCAGGCATTTATTTATTCATTTTATTTTATTATGTCAATTTCTAACCCACACTATTGGAGTAACTAAATAAAATTGGAATATTTAAAAAAAAAATGTTTTTGGTTAATTTGAATGATGATCCATCTCTAAAATTAACATTGATGCGATGTTCGAGAAATATATCTTTTTGGGCGGATATTAGTAGTAATTTCTTTTTTTCTTTTTTTTTTTTCATTTCAGTAAAATTTTTACTCCAATTTTTAAAAAATGTGTAATTTTTTTTTTATATCAAATAAAAATATTATTTTTATCTTATAAATTTTTATAAAGTGTACATTCTATTATTTTACAAATATTAATATTTACATACAAACAAAACAAGAATTTTGTTTGAATTTTCAATCCAAATGCAAACCAGACTTACTTTCAATTTATTTTATTTTATCTCTTACAAATAATATTTAAACGTTTTTATTGTTTAATGTATTAATTATATGTAAATAATTTTATTTTTTTATTTTTATGTATTATACAATCATTTAGTTATTTATAGATATTATATTTACATATTCATTAAGATGTGGTAAAATGCACAAATAAATTGTATTATTTACTTAATATTATAATAAGATCTTAATTTACAATATATTATACAAATGTCATAACAATAAGGTTAACAATAAGGTTAGTTTAATATTTTTATATTAATTTATATTGCATCTGAATATAATACTAATATTTCTAAAATTTCATACAAAAAACAATTAAATAGATATGAGACGGAGAGAGTAATTTATATAAATAAAAATAACAAGATAGATATAAAATGATGGCATTTTAACTGAGTGACATGTATTAGTGCGTCGATTACCGATCATGATTTCATAAAGTACCGATTAAGAGTTAAAATAGCATAATGTGAAATAATAGCATTTGTTATACTTCTCATGTCCCATAACTAAATATTCATTTGATTTTTGCACGTAATTTTAGAAATATTAGTATTATATTAAAATCTAGTATGAATAAAGTAGAAATGACTAAAATAACTTTATTAGTATGTGTGATACAAAGGTAATAACATTTGTGTAATATATTGCAAGTTGTAAGGGTATTTGTAATGTTAGGTAAATAGTACAATTATTAAAAAAAAATTGATACTTTATTATGGAACAAATTAAAATGAAAAAATGGATATTTGCTATGGGACGAATGTAGTATAAAAAATGTTTGTTTTCTGAACTTTGGAATTTATGCTATTTAAAGAAATGTGTCTTTGTTGGATCCTGCGATTTGGAATTCCAAAATAGCTCGTCGATTTCGTCGGTGTGGGTTCCGGAAGTACTTCAGAGAGCCAATCCGTCGTCGGGCAATGCAGATTTTATGCGATTGATCGAATTAAACTACGATTAACTACGAAAAGCGAGTAAATAAATTGCAGAAAGCATGTAATTAGAATTAAATTGCATAAACGAAAATAAAACAGGAAAGAAAAATATAAAAAAGAGACGAATTGTTCTGTTGTGCGTGTGTGTTGTGTTTCTTTTTCCTACTTGCAATCATAAGCTAGAATAACCACTTCTCCCACTAATAGGGTTGTTACAATTATTCTCTCACTTCTTTTTACCTCTCTTAGCCACCAAGTGACCTCATTCCACTGGTTCCCAGCGGCTTCCATTGTTTCTGGACCGAGTTCTATTCGATTTGAGTATCTTCCATCGTTCCTGGATCAAGTTCCATTTGCTCTGGATTTCTTCCATTGCCTTCAGATAAGACATGCAGTCTACCCTGATTCGTTTCTATCATACTCCTAGCCAATCTACGGGGATATGTTCCCGACAGCTTTGAGTTACGTGGAACCTTCATTCATCTTCCTTCCATTTTGACCCCTAGAATCTTTCATATCGAACTTATAGGTACCATGGTCTTCCATTAACTTTATGAGGTTGCCAATTCAGGGTTGATGGAGCTTGTCGTCCGAAGGTCTATGGAAGTCATATCTTCTTGCTCCATGGAAGCTCCGTAGCCTGATGGAAGTCACTACCTTCGACATTTAAACCATTTTGGACCTGGGGTCCGACAGTCTTATAAGAGTAAATCGCATAATATTTATTATTGTAGTATATTTATATTATATTATATTATATTAATATAAATAATATATTATCTGAACTTTTGATCGATATTATTTAAAAAATATATTATGGTGGTCATTTACATCGTGTGGGACATATTATATATATACATACGAAAACGAAATGTGGAAGAATGCTTTTTGACAAAATGGAATTGTATGCAAAGGGCAGTTAAGGAGAGCCTTTGCTTTGGGAATTCCAAATCTAAACTGTACGTACATTCTTACGTTCATTTTAAGCCCATCAAAACCTGCACTGCAACTTTACCCCTTCTTCTCCAATCGAATAGAATATTTTTTTTATCATATTAATGCCATTCCAATTTCCATTTTTTTAATTATAAAAATAAATTTTATTTTTAAAAAAATTCCCCTTAAATTCTAAAAATCGATGAATTGAAAAGAAAAAGATTTGTTTACTTTATGTTTTTGATAATTTTTTTCTTATATTAGATATAAAATATAATATTATAATATAACAAATAATATTTTATATTAAATTATTGAATTTTTGTAATTGGATAAAAAAATATAAATATTATGTACATTGTATTTTTTAAAATAATATTAATGAGAAATTATACTGTATATAAAAAAAAGTACCAAGTGAATATATACTTTTGTGGTCCACTTAAAAGATATATATTGTCATTTTCACGTGTTTAAATATATAAAATATATTGTTTTATTTTAAGTAAATTTTGATCATACTATACATTATAAACATCAAACTTATATTTATTTACATGGATAAATATGATTACATCAAATTTAAACTCGAGCAAAAAAAACCTATGTACGAAATATCACAAATTATTATTTAAATAATACTATTTTATCCTACAACAAAACATATACTTATAAATTTGAATAAATACTTATTACATTAATTATGTGACATATATATTTTTGGAGATTACATGAGTGAATTTATATAATGTATAAATTAGATAGTGTATAAGAATTCCTTTTTACTATAAATATTTTATAGACAAACATAAAATAAAATAAAAACAAAATATATATTTGATAAATGAAATAAATATAATTTTTTAATATTAGCCCAAAAAGTAAATATATATATATATCCATAGTGGATAGAAGGGTTATTATATAAAAATATATATTTTTATTTGAAATATTAATAAATTTTTTTTATTTATATTAACAAATGAACAGAGAAACTTGAATATATTCCATTTATGAACGAATATGCTATTAAGAGACATTTTTTCTTATTTACTGGATTTATTGCTAGTAAAAGTAAACAAGATGATAAATCATAATCAAACTAGTAGACTAGTGATTCAAGAAGAATTCAGGGCTTATTTGATTTTAATTTTAATTTAATATTTTATAATATAAAATAACATTTTTTTATAACTAATAAACTAAATTGTGTTGATTTTAATTTCCAACCAAAAGTAAACAAACCATAAATAATTAAAACCTCCAGCAATAGATAATTGTTGGGTGAGCATACTTGTGTGTTCTTTTGAAATTTAATTTAGGGTATATTTGTTTAGTTTTTTAATTTCAAGTACTATATATATATATATATATATATATAATATAAGAGAATTGTTAATAATATAAAAAATAGTATTTTGAATTAAATAATAATTTATTGTAAAATAATAAAATATATACTATTATATATAGAGAATTGAATTAAATTTAGACTATCAAAGCCTAAGTTCTGTAATTTAAATATTTATTTTAAAAAATAATATATTAGAAATCACAGTAATTGCATAATAAAAAATAATAACAAAACTAAAAAAAAAAAAAGGCATGCTCAATTTTTAATTATAAATTTTCGAAAGGTATGGTTGTATTTTTGACATGTCCGTGGGAGATGCAACATAAAATGCAATAAAATTTAGGGGGTGATAGAAGTGATTTCAATTTGTTTTGGCATTATGCAATTTACAATAAAACATTTCACCACTAAAATCATTACATTCAATATATATATATATATATATATTTGTTCGAAACACCACATCCAACGCCTATTTTAGGTTCAAAATATACTAAATCGAGCATATTTTCGATTAAAAAAAAAAGTCAAATCCGAAACACATTTACATAGTAGACATTTCAATGCGTGTAGCATAATTTGCGCCGAGTAATTTCGAAGTAAAAACTATAACTTGAATATTCATGCCGAGTCTAACTTAGCTTTCGATAAGATCCCCTTGAGAAACTACACACTAAACAACTCAACAAATGCATTTTTAAATTTCTCGATGAAATGATCATATTTTCGGAAATTAAGTAAATCTCCCAAAGGAGATATGATCTAATAAGATAGGATGTAACACACTAAGTACCTGGGAATCGATTACAAGACTAAGCCGTGACAGCCACTTTAACCGGCCATATCTATGTCGGAAGCTGAGGTTTCTTCCTTTGGTGAAGTAATTGATGCAAAGAGGTGTTCGATTCTGAGAGGAGAATGGCGCGCCATATATTGAAACATGACCTGAACACAATCACAAAGACATTCAAAAAAAGACTCGTGCAGTTGTCGAAAAGTCATGATTACTGTCACCAATATTATAAAACATGAATGAATTGGACATATATAGATTTAGCTTACCTTTGAATAGCTGTCGGCAAAGGCTCGCGAACGATTTGACTTCCCAACATAGTGAAAATCTGCTTTCTCCAATTTCCCATTGGCAAAACATAAACCCCCTTGATTGATGGAAAAACGGAGAAGATTACCGGTCTGAAGTCCTGTCTGGAAAACAGCAAATTGGTAATTAGATTGGAATCTCCCGTAAAAACTTAAACTGTCGGTTGCAAGAATATGAGAAACCGGTGCACATATATATATATTATATATGAATGAGTTAATTATGGTCCTCATTGCAACAAATATCAACTAATAATACCAAACCAACACAATCAAAATAGAATCTAAAAATAAAAGAGAAAAAAGAAGTTTCTATATTCTAATTAGAAATCTTAGGGTGACAAATCACATTGAAGAAAATATTCTGAGACACCAAATTGAAAACAGAGAACATCCATTAGGATTCTAGCAAAGAGTCATAAAACTTGTGATTTCCCCCCGAGGTGATTGATCATGCAAGAAAATATACATGTGACCAAGTGAAAATTTTGATAGAATTTAGGAAATATTAGGCCCTTCAAGAGATCTCATAAGTTATAACATGGTATCCAATGAATTCAAAAGTGTAGTTGTAAAGTAATAAATAAGATTATCAAACCTGTTCGATGAAAGCCATGCCCAAGGAACCAAAGATTACTGGAGGATCATCAGACGTTGCCAATCTACCATCATCAAGTAGCTCCAAAACTACCTTGTTTTCCAACCAATGTGAAAGATAAGATCAAGTTATCAGCAATAATGGCTACAAGTTTCTCAAGCACCTAAAGCTGTAACATAACTTTTAAGGAACACTACTAAAGAATTTCGACAAGTAATAAATAATGCATAGCTCATGTTTTTTGTTACTTTTTGTAGGCTCTTTCTATAAATTTTGAAAATTGTAGAGGGTTGAAGGACTTGAGCTGCCTCAAGAAGGCTTATTCAAAAGAATATCTAGGAAGAAGACCTAAATATGCTACTCTACTTTTTTTCGTCAGTTATTTTCTAACTAATTTAAGGACGCCATTACTACCAACTGCCAAATAGAGTATAGAAGGTAGAAACACAAGAACACACATCAGGTAGAATTAGGATTATTGCTAAAATTTGGCCAATTCTAGACATTAACTCATTACGAAAAGTGTGGTGTGTGGAATAGATGATTTATCAGATTAAAAGTGGTCCCTCCATCTGATTAAATGATAGAGAGTAATTCTAACTTGAGTGATCATATCTACCTGCTGTTGATCTGGAATTTCACCCTTTCCGTCCGTATCAAGAACATATTGACTGCAAAGCTCGTCCTTCCAGACAAGTACCAAGGGAGTATTTCCAGCTTGATAGTGTGCATGCCTGGAAGAATCAAAATGCTATCAAACTAGCACGAAAAGTAAAATAGCAATAATGTAAATTGAATACAGTATTTAATGAACGTCATTGAACTCCATTTAAACATGCAATAAAATACCTAACACTTGCACTTAAGGTCTAGCATAATTGTCACCATATGACATATAAACCAGAAATTAGCATAACACATCACAAACTAATGCAGAAGTATACATCTTCTAAATGCTTTGCGATCAAAATGTATATATGTATATATATAATGACCATGGATAACCAAATGCATAGAAAGTCTTTCTTTTTTTTGTAAAAGGAATTAGAAGGATAACCAATAATGCAGATCAAAAAAATACCAAAAGTAAACTCACATATTGTAGAACATAAGTCCATCCTTAACATATGAGGACGATTCAGAATAAGCAGTTTTTAGACCCTCTTGGTCGCAGTTGTATATGGGAACTGTCCTAAAACGATATTTATGGTAATGTGAGGGATCACCGCATGCTCCCGTCTCAACAAGCTTGCTGTTTAACCAGAAAAATCTAAACTCGGCTGTACATTCATAGAGTGACATTCCTGCCCAGCACACCATATCAATAACATAGTAGGTCTGATCAGGCTGCAAGTCATAGAAAAATCCATATAAACATCAATTTCATAAACTTGGGATCAAATCCACGAAAAGAATGAAGAAAGGAATTAAGACCTCGTAAAATATGCAATCAAGTATACAATATGATTGGCCCGAGCGAGTGCTGTTATTGGACCTGGAACCATTTGGTAAAGCAGAAGGAAACCGGTGCAGCATGCTGCCATTACGTAGTCGACTAACTGTTATCCCATTAGACGACACCACAAAACATCGTTTCCCCGCCGGTCTAGCACACACATACCTGTAAGAAAATAAAAGGGATTGCAATCATACACAAGGCTCCTCGAGATTCAAGGTTATCAACACAAACTGCATTCATGGTTCCAACATTCTTTTCCATTTAAAAAGCTTAATATCCCCTTGAGGTCCACAAATGATTGATCAAACCTAAATAATCACCTTATCAGAAACGAGATATGAACCCCTAATTTCTCTTTTCAACACTTTAAGGATTCAGTTAAGAATATCCACAGAAACAAAACGAAGATCATTTTGAATTACAGATAAAACTAAAATTAAAAAGATTCAAAGTAAGATTGGGAAAGTGAAATGAAAGAAAAGAGCCATACCAATCGACGCCCAATCCTTCAGGCACATCAATCATCCATTCAGGAAGCATAAGCTGCTTAGCGAACCACAGACGAGCTTCCGGTCCCCTCAAACTGGCTGCCTGTCGGACATCAAAGTTTTGAGCATGTTCTTCGGTTGGGGGCACAATATCCATGCTGCTTGCTTCAAGCTCCGGCGAGTCATTCTGAAGGGACAGAATAGTGCTCGCCAAAAATCGGGCCTGCTGCTGCGCGTCGCGGCGGTTCTGGACCTGCCGCTGCAAGGATAGCTCTCGCCGCTTCTGCTGGTCAGAGATTGCTGCGCGTTTGAACGGACGGCGGAGATCGTGTGGCGCCATGACTTAACCCTGATGAAACAATTAAGATTATAAAATTTGAATTGCAAAAGTGGAGATGCCCTTCCGGAGGGTTCCGCGTGCGCATATACAAAGCCTATAAAATTTACCGGTGCTGATATGACGGAAGAACGGATGGCGCCTCCCCCTCCGGCGACAGCTGAATTCCTGAAAGAGGACAGAGACAGAGCGGAGAATGGCGACGGAGCCGACGACGGATCGGAAACGAACTAGAAAAGATTTCTCAAACTTTTTTTTATTGAATTTATGCATACATAAATTATTAAAACCGGGTGTCTTTTTTTTTACTAAATTTGAATTTTAAGTAGCAATTCGAATAATAAAATTTTTAAATTAAAATAATTATATAATATATATAATATAAATAATTATTAATTTAAGTATAAAATTAATTTTTATATGATATAAAAAATAAAAAATAAAGTTACGCTTGTTTGGATTTGTGTTTGTTTGTAGGGTTTTGATTTGCAGTTCACACTAGAACGGGTTTAGATGGTCTATCCTTATTATATTTAAAGGCCATTGGGCCATATTTAATGATCTAGGCCCATATGTCACATAACAAGTATGTTTGGGCTGAGTTTTATAGTTTTTGTTTTTTAGAATAAATATTATTTTTGGACTTATTCAATATAATAATTATTCATTTTAGTTTGATAAAAAAATTATTAATTTTAGTTTTATTTAAATAAAATTTATTAATTTTAATTCAATAATCATTGACTGGGACTAAATACTGGTTGCCTCAACACAGCCCATGTTGGTTATCTTTCTCCTCTAAACATAGCCATGTTCATGTATTTTTTAAAACTTGTGTTCTCAATATAATCGTGTTCATGTTCATATTTTGAACACAACCGTATTCCTACTCATATTCATAACTCTATTCTTAATATGGCTATATTTTAGGCAATGTTTACGTTTTTTAATATAGTCATATTCTATGTAATATTCATATTATTATTATTATTTTAAAATTATTTAATATATATTTATTACAATTATTTAATAATATAAAAATAATTTCAAAAAATATTTATAAAAATAATATTAATATATATTTTTAATAATCATAATTACATATGTGTTTCAAATTTATAGTAAAATTTTAAAATAAATTTAATTTATAATTTTTAAAATATAAATAATACTAAAAACAAATACTAAAAATTATATATATATAACAAAAAAAAACTAAACAAACTAAAACGTCCAGTTTAGTTAATTTTTAGTATTTGTTTTGCATTTATATTTAAATTAGTTTAAATATGATATTTTATAAAATAAATAATATATTTCTATAACTTATTATAATAAAAATTATGAAACTTGGATAAAACATAGCATAAACTACAAGAAAAATAATATAATTGAAATATTTTGAATGAATTATTTAACGTGTATGAATACTAAAAAATAAAAATAAATTCAAGGTTTATTTTCACATTACTATTAATTATATAATTTATATATATATATATATATAAGAAAAAACTTTATTCTTAAAAATATCATATGTAATTTATTCATTCAGGATGTATATTTATTTCATAACTATAATATAATATTTTCTATATGCAAAATATCTTCAAAAAATTATTTTTTAATCGAGACATATTCTTCATTATATATTTTATATTTTAAAAATGGTCAAAGTCCATAAATGCATAAATAATTGAGGCAGGGTAAGATAGTTAATAAGTCGCACGGCAATCCCACTTGATCTCCAAATTGATACACAATAATACTGTTCTCTCCCTCCCATATAATTTGTTCATATTTTATATTTTTGTCCGTCGTTCCATATAATCTATTATTTTTTTACAATTGTAATTATACACTTTAATTATATTTAAAATTTTATTATATTTTTAATCTTAATTAAATTATTTATTTATTTTAATTTTAACTTATAATTATTTATATTATATAATAATTATTTTTACTAATACATTTCTTAATTACTTATTAATTATATTTTACCTAAATTCTCGTATCTACAGTAATAGATCCATATTTTTTGGGACGAAAGGAATAATAATTTGAATGCAACTTATCCATATTTGGGACGAAGAGTACTATTTGAAATAAATTTAAATTAAACGCTGAATTTTAAATCAAAATCAAATAAAATATTTTTTAATTGCTATTTCATATATAAATAATTAATATCAAATTATTATTTAATCAAATAGTTAAATACAAAGAGTTAGTCAAATAAATTAAGGATCCGTTTAAATTAACTTAAAATAAACATAAGCCAAAAACAGAAGGAACAATTTAATTTGATTTTATGTTTGCATAAATTTTTATAAAAGCAATTTAAGAAAAAAAATTTTGTTTAAATATAATAAAATTAAAAGTGATTTTAAATTGTCAAAACATTTTTGTTAAAAAAGAAATGTGGTTAATATATTTATATATTTTTATAGAACCTCTATAATCTATTTTAAAATTTTAAATTATATATAATATAAAAAATATATTTTTAATTTTTAATTTAAGAATATTATATAAATTAAAAATAAATTTACAATTTAATACTAAATTATTTGTATTTTTACAACTCATTATAAAATGCTATAAATTATATTTAATAATTTAAAGTTTTTAGTATAATTAAAATTACTATTTTATTTTTAATATAATAATAATAATAATAACAATACTAAAATATTACTCCATTCGTCCCACGTACCATGTTCACGTTGCCGTTTCTGTCCGTCCCATATTTCATGTCATTTTTCTTTTTTGGAAAATGATTACACACTTTAATCTCATTTTAAACTTTTTAATTTATTTTCTTTTTAATTTTAATTAAAATAATTAGTTATCTTAATCTTAATTTATAATTATTTATATTATAAGATAATTATTTTCACGAATATATTTTTAATTATCTACTAATTACTCCCCTTCTAAAATACCTTGTATACAGTGCAGCAAACACTGTATATGGGACGGAAAAGCAAAGGAAGTCTTTCTTTTTCTTTCGGAAGGAAAGGAAGGTCTTTTTGCTATTGGTTCCCGGCAAGCTTACAGAATTAGACCCCCAATCCAATGGTTACCAGTTGAAGAGAGCGGTTCTCTTGATACGAACTGCTCATGGTCAAAAAGAAGAATATGTCTGCTTGCGATAGTTGAAGACGCTTTGTGTGGGGCATCCGGATTGGGTATTCATAATCTGGAGTAAAAAGATTCGAACCTTTGCATGCCGGTACCATGTTTATGCTACTCACTCTCAGTTTTTTCCTACTTTGAAAATGAAAGATATCCGTAGGATAAACTTAATTCATTTATTACAGGAGTTAGCGCCGGCCGCTCGGGCTCCGCATTTCAAGTTCGTTATCCTAACCGTCTCCTCTCCTCCACCGGGAGCCTGGCTCCTTCTTCTATCTTATCTACTGCCTTGCTCCTCAGCTCCATACTGCTCCAGCCGCTCGCTGTAATAGCTTGCTTCTCGGGTGGCTCGCACTCTGGTTGGTGCGGTTGAGCCCGTTTGATATCCAAAAACTGCGCAGCAGTCGGCCTATGTTTCCGGGCGCCAACGGAAAGGAGGACGAATGTAAAGGGTCCGAAGGGAGAATTGGATGGATTGCATACACAATCAACAGAGGCCTTCCCGACATATATTGCTGCTTTGAGTTGGGAAAGAAAGCCCGAGCGAGGCTAGCGCCGATTAAGCCCACAACAATTTTCTTCTCGTATCGACGAATTAGAAGAGATATCAACCGGCAACCGTATATGGAAACAACGATTAGTGAATATTGGTACTGTCACTGGCAAAAAAGGAGCAGGTAGGAATGCTGACCACTACATAAGCCACTAGTGGCTCAGAGAAAGCGAGCAGCACCTTGTATAGGTTGGGCTACGCTTGAAGGAGCGACGTTAGGGGGCTGTATCAGCGAGATCCAACGGTGAACAGCTGCCCAAAATAAAAATCGCCTGGAAGTCCGAGGACACCCATTCAACATCAGAAAGGGTTCGCTCATACTAGAGGAAGCATTTGGGAGCATATAATATAAAAATAATTAATTTATATATTATATTTTAATAAAAATTATAATATATAATTATATTATTATCTATAATTCATATATTATATTTGAATTAAAATTTAAAATTGAAATACTAAATTTAAATAAGAGTATAGAAATTTTTAATTATACTATTACAAAATATAATTTATAAACTTTTAAAATAAATTATTAAATATAATAATTTAATATTATATTGTAATTTTATTTTTAATAGATATATTATCCTTTAATTAAAGTTTTAAATATAAATAATACATTAAAAAATATTTTTTTATAGTTTAATTTAAAATTTTTAAATAAAATTAATAAAATTTACAATAAATTATAAAAATTTTAAAGAAAAATACTATTATATTAACACCACGTCTTTTTGAATAATTTTAACCGTTTAAAAGCACATTCAACTTTATAACATCCAAACAGTTTTTGCTTTTACAATGATTTATCCAAATATAAAATCGAATTGCTTCTCTTTTGGCTTATAATTTTGTTTCTACTTTTGACTTCTACTTATTTTTTAAGACAATCCATACGGGCTCATAATATTCCAAAATACTCCATCTGTCTCTTATCTATGTATCTGTTTGTTTTTTTCACGAAGTTTTAAGAATATTAAGTATTATATTGAGATATAGTATGAATAAAGTAGAAAAGACTAAAATTACCTTATTAGTATTATGTGATATAAATGTAATAATATTTGTGTAATATATTGTAAATTGTAAGAGTATTTTTAACGTTAGTAGAAAGTACAATTACTAAAAAAAATAAAATGAAATCAATACTTTGTTATAGGATAAACCAAAATATCAAAATTGATAAATTATTAATGGACGGAAGAATTTTTTTATTTTTTTTATTTTTTCCTTTAGCTTAATATTCCAAGACACAACATAACTAATTATATGTATCTTGTCTAGTGTAGAAGGGAAAATATTGACATAATTTCCAAATATATGGAGTTGGTTATTCGAGTACCTAGATTTAAATAAAAGGTTATACTAGTATAAAATATTTTTGAAAATATAAAAAAATAATAGTACGATGATTCTAAACAACAAAAGGGGAAAAAAAGAACCAAAAAAAAAAAATCAAAATCATGTAGGATGTGTTTGTTTGTTGGTTTTAATTTTTGAGTTTAAATTTGTTAACAATAAAAAATTGAATTTGAATAGTTGTTTGATATGATATGATATAAATAGAGATTGACGTGA